GTATTTTGTGCAAGAAATTGCAATAAAATAGTGTGCCTAAGAAAAATTGAATTTTTTTGAAAATTTTTTTTTGACGAAAATCGCTTTAATGGTCATAAAATTGGTGTTCCTCTACTCGGATCGGGCTGTCAATTTTTTTCTACACTTTTAGGTGTATTTTGTGCAAGAAATTGCAATAAAATAGTGTGCCTAAGAAAAATTGAATTTTTTTGAAAATTTTTTTTTGACGAAAATCGCTTTAATGGTCATAAAATTGGTGTTCCTCTACTCGGATCGGGCTGTCAATTTTTTTCTACACTTTTAGGTGTATTTTGTGCAAGAAATTGCAATAAAATAGTGTGCCTAAGAAAAATTGAATTTTTTTGAAAATTTTTTTTTGACGAAAATCGCTTTAATGGTCATAAAATTGGTGTTCCTCTACTCGGATCGGGCTGTCAATTTTTTTCTACACTTTCAGGTGTATTTTGTGCAAGAAATTGCAATAAAATAGTGTGCCTAAGAAAAATTGAATTTTTTTGAAAATTTTTTTTTGACGAAAATCGCTTTAATGGTCATAAAATTGGTGTTCCTCTACTCGGATCGGGCTGTCAATTTTTTTCTACACTTTTAGGTGTATTTTGTGCAAGAAATTGCAATAAAATAGTGTGCCTAAGAAAAATTGAATTTTTTTGAAAATTTTTTTTTGACGAAAATCGCTTTAATGGTCATAAAATTGGTGTTCCTCTACTCGGATCGGGCTGTCAATTTTTTTCTACACTTTCAGGTGTATTTTGTGCAAGAAATTGCAATAAAATAGTGTGCCTAAGAAAAATTGAATTTTTTTGAAAATTTTTTTTTGACGAAAATCGCTTTAATGGTCATAAAATTGGTGTTCCTCTACTCGGATCGGGCTGTCAATTTTTTTCTACACTTTCAGGTGTATTTTGTGCAAGAAATTGCAATAAAATAGTGTGCCTAAGAAAAATTGAATTTTTTTGAAAATTTTTTTTTGACGAAAATCGCTTTAATGGTCATAAAATTGGTGTTCCTCTACTCGGATCGGGCTGTCAATTTTTTTCTACACTTTTAGGTGTATTTTGTGCAAGAAATTGCAATAAAATAGTGTGCCTAAGAAAAATTGAATTTTTTTGAAAATTTTTTTTTGACGAAGATCGCTTTAATGGTCATAAAATTGGTGTTCCTCTACTCGCATCGGGCTGTCAATTTTTTTCTACACTTTTAGGTGTATTTTGTGCAAGAAATTGCAATAAAATAGTGTGCCTAAGAAAAATTGAATTTTTTTGAAAATTTTTTTTTGACGAAAATCGCTTTAATGGTCATAAAATTGGAGTTCCTCTACTCGGATCAGGCTGTCAATTTTTTTCTACACTTTTAGGTGTATTTTGTGCAAGAAATTGCAATAAAATAGTGTGCCTAAGAAAAATTGAATTTTTTTGAAAATTTTTTTTTGACGAAAATCGCTTTAATGGTCATAAAATTGGTGTTCCTCTACTCGGATCGGGCTGTCAATTTTTTTCTACACTTTTAGGTGTATTTTGTGCAAGAAATTGCAATAAAATAGTGTGCCTAAGAAAAATTGAATTTTTTTGAAAATTTTTTTTTGACGAAAATCGCTTTAATGGTCATAAAATTGGTGTTCCTCTACTCGGATCGGGCTGTCAATTTTTTTCTACACTTTTAGGTGTATTTTGTGCAAGAAATTGCAATAAAACAGTGAGCCTAAGAAAAATTGAATTTTTTTGAAAATTTTTTTTTGACGAAAATCGCTTTAATGGTCATAAAATTGGAGTTCCTCTACTCGGATCAGGCTGTCAATTTTTTTCTACACTTTTAGGTGTATTTTGTGCAAGAAATTGCAATAAAACAGTGTGCCTAAGAAAAATTGAATTTTTTTGAAAATTTTTTTTTGACGAAAATCGCTTTAATGGTCATAAAATTGGTGTTCCTCTACTCGGATCGGGCTGTCAATTTTTTTCTACACTTTCAGGTGTATTTTGTGCAAGAAATTGCAATAAAATAGTGTGCCTAAGAAAAATTGAATTTTTTTGAAAATTTTTTTTTGACGAAAATCGCTTTAATGGTCATAAAATTGGTGTTCCTCTACTCGGATCGGGCTGTCAATTTTTTTCTACACTTTTAGGTGTATTTTGTGCAAGAAATTGCAATAAAATAGTGTGCCTAAGAAAAATTGAATTTTTTTGAAAATTTTTTTTTGACGAAAATCGCTTTAATGGTCATAAAATTGGAGTTCCTCTACTCGGATCAGGCTGTCAATTTTTTTCTACACTTTTAGGTGTATTTTGTGCAAGAAATTGCAATAAAATAGTGTGCCTAAGAAAAATTGAATTTTTTTGAAAAATTTTTTTTGACGAATAGCGCTTAAATGTTGGTAATAGGTGTCTTCCTCTACTCGGATCGGGCTGTCAATTTTTTTCTACACTTTTAGGTGTATTTTGTGCAAGAAATTGCAATAAAATAGTGTGCCTAAGAAAAATTGAATTTTTTTGAAAATTTTTTTTTGACGAAAATCGCTTTAATGGTCATAAAATTGGTGTTCCTCTACTCGGATCGGGCTGTCAATTTTTTTCTACACTTTTAGGTGTATTTTGTGCAAGAAATTGCAATAAAATAGTGTGCCTAAGAAAAATTGAATTTTTTTGAAAATTTTTTTTTGACGAAAATCGCTTTAATGGTCATAAAATTGGAGTTCCTCTACTCGGATCAGGCTGTCAATTTTTTTCTACACTTTTAGGTGTATTTTGTGCAAGAAATTGCAATAAAATAGTGTGCCTAAGAAAAATTGAATTTTTTTGAAAATTTTTTTTTGACGAAAATCGCTTTAATGGTCATAAAATTGGAGTTCCTCTACTCGGATCAGGCTGTCAATTTTTTTCTACACTTTTAGGTGTATTTTGTGCAAGAAATTGCAATAAAATAGTGTGCCTAAGAAAAATTGAATTTTTTTGAAAAATTTTTTTTGACGAATAGCGCTTAAATGTTGGTAATAGGTGTCTTCCTCTACTCGGATCGGGCTGTCAATTTTTTTCTACACTTTTAGGTGTATTTTGTGCAAGAAATTGCAATAAAATAGTGTGCCTAAGAAAAATTGAATTTTTTTGAAAATTTTTTTTTGACGAAAATCGCTTTAATGGTCATAAAATTGGTGTTCCTCTACTCGGATCGGGCTGTCAATTTTTTTCTACACTTTTAGGTGTATTTTGTGCAAGAAATTGCAATAAAATAGTGTGCCTAAGAAAAATTGAATTTTTTTGAAAATTTTTTTTTGACGAAAATCGCTTTAATGGTCATAAAATTGGTGTTCCTCTACTCGGATCGGGCTGTCAATTTTTTTCTACACTTTCAGGTGTATTTTGTGCAAGAAATTGCAATAAAATAGTGTGCCTAAGAAAAATTGAATTTTTTTGAAAATTTTTTTTTGACGAAAATCGCTTTAATGGTCATAAAATTGGTGTTCCTCTACTCGGATCGGGCTGTCAATTTTTTTCTACACTTTTAGGTGTATTTTGTGCAAGAAATTGCAATAAAATAGTGTGCCTAAGAAAAATTGAATTTTTTTGAAAATTTTTTTTTGACGAAGATCGCTTTAATGGTCATAAAATTGGTGTTCCTCTACTCGCATCGGGCTGTCAATTTTTTTCTACACTTTTAGGTGTATTTTGTGCAAGAAATTGCAATAAAATAGTGTGCCTAAGAAAAATTGAATTTTTTTGAAAATTTTTTTTTGACGAAAATCGCTTTAATGGTCATAAAATTGGAGTTCCTCTACTCGGATCAGGCTGTCAATTTTTTTCTACACTTTTAGGTGTATTTTGTGCAAGAAATTGCAATAAAATAGTGTGCCTAAGAAAAATTGAATTTTTTTGAAAATTTTTTTTTGACGAAAATCGCTTTAATGGTCATAAAATTGGTGTTCCTCTACTCGGATCGGGCTGTCAATTTTTTTCTACACTTTTAGGTGTATTTTGTGCAAGAAATTGCAATAAAATAGTGTGCCTAAGAAAAATTGAATTTTTTTGAAAATTTTTTTTTGACGAAAATCGCTTTAATGGTCATAAAATTGGTGTTCCTCTACTCGGATCGGGCTGTCAATTTTTTTCTACACTTTTAGGTGTATTTTGTGCAAGAAATTGCAATAAAATAGTGTGCCTAAGAAAAATTGAATTTTTTTGAAAATTTTTTTTTGACGAAAATCGCTTTAATGGTCATAAAATTGGTGTTCCTCTACTCGGATCGGGCTGTCAATTTTTTTCTACACTTTTAGGTGTATTTTGTGCAAGAAATTGCAATAAAATAGTCTGCCTAAGAAAAATTGAATTTTTTTGAAAATTGCTCGAAAAATATAGCTAACCCTTTTGAAATATTATATTTAAATATTCAAATTTAAATAATCGTGAACCCTAGGTAAGCGAGTGTAATTCGTACCTGACCAATTTTTTATTTTAAATTTCAATTTCTTGTGTTTCAGATCGAGCGGAGAATAATAAAGCAGAAGGGACCAAATTAAAATTAATTTCATGCTATGATGATGAATAAGTTTTTACATTGATCTCATAATAATTCGAAATTATAAATTTCGAAGGAAACTAAAAGGGTTTCCAAATTAAAAAGGTTTTCATGCTATTGTGATGAATAATTTTCTCGATCCCATAATAATTCGAAACTAAAATTTTTTTCTAACGGAAAGCATAATTTTTAGTTTAAATCTCAATTATTGTAATTTTTATTTTTTTTGAAATACTTTTTAATTTTTTATTTATAAGTGACATTTCACAGTTAAATAATTTTAATTTTTATATACAAAATAAAAATGTTTTAACTTTTTTTTAAATAATGTAGAATTTTCTACATTTTTCTATTTTTAACTTAAATTTTTTTTTTTAATCTTAAATATAAAATTGTATTTATTTTTTTTTTAATTAAAAATTATGCTTAAATTTTAAATAAAAAAATAAAGAATGCATGGGTAGAATAAAACCACCTTCCAGAGAATAGCAGATGTGGTATATTTAATTTTTTTTTAATCTTTAACTATATATATATATATAATATCTCATAATAGTATTTCTGTATATATTTATAATATAGCATTTATGATAAAAGAACGAGTCACGAATGTACAATATTTGACAGGATGCATTTTGTATAAGATGCACATGCTTCTCTTTCACTCGCGCGCGCTATCACACACACACACACACACACACACACACACACACACACACACACACTCTCTCTCTCATAGTTTAAATGATACTATTTCTCGCATCATCACAATAAATATTATATATGCTTTGGTCCATCCTCGATCCAGAGACTACAAATAAGTCTCTTTAAAAAATGTTTATTTTTTTTTTGTTGCTTGTTTTCTTTTTCGTTTAAGGACATAATATAAGATTGTGGCTGATTGTGAGTGTATATATATAAATATTTTTTTTGTTTTTGTACCGTTTCGGCAAAGGTGGATGGACCACAAAAAGAAAGTGATGCTCCCAGTTTGGCTATGCGATTTAAATTACTAATTGTCTATAATAATTAATTAATAAAAGTGTCGTAAACCCATCATCGAGGGAGCACTACCACATTAATTGTATAATATATATATATATGATTGGAAGGACACTTGCAAACAATCTTTGCCTTGGAGAATTTTTTTTTATTATTATTATTATAGTAATAGTAGTTAGTATAGAGCTGACAAAAGCGTTAAAATCAATTTTTGCGCGGGAAAATTTTAATTTATAGGTTAGGTCGAAGTTAAAATTTTTCTGCGCAAACTTTTTTGTGAATGGGTTTTTTTTGTCAGATCTTTTTTTTTTCATTATATTATTTTTTTTTATTATCGATGTGAATTTTACAAATGTGAAAGTTTGAGAAACGTTTTTAGAGGCAACGGATGATCGCATATTGGGAGCTATTAAAATTCTAAAAATCACACATACATTCAAATTTCTTTTATATAATTTTTTTTATACCTCGCAAATCATTCACATCTTCATTTTCTATATAGTTCGTGGTAGTGCCTAATATATTTTTGTTGTCATATACAGAATCATTGTCAAAATTATTAATTTTTCATTTAATTTTAATTTATATTTTTTTTATTTATTTAATTAATTGTAATCAAATTAATTTTACAGCGAAATATTATAAATACTCAGTTTCAAAAATTGATATGATAAACAATTATTGTGATATTTTTTTTTTTATAATATTTAGTCAATAAAATTTTTTTTATAAACGAAATTTCATTATTGGCAATGATTCTGAATAATCAGCGAAATAGTGTTATTACAATCTCTTTTTCATTATTATTATTATTTTTTTTTTTACAAATAGAGTATCGTCATAAATAGAATTATTAATATAATAATATAGCTTTAATAGTCGATCCTATAATTAAAGTTGATAATGTACAGTGTATAATATATATATATAATAGTTAATGAGAAAACAGAGATAGTTTTGGATTCATGATGACTTTGTCAGTGTGATAAAAAGAAACATGAATACTTTCAAAGTCATCAGAAAATTAACGTTGACAGTATTTTTCTGCTTATTAGAAGATAACTATATAGTTTTTAGGCATCTACGGTGATATGATTAAATTGTTAGGGTTTTAATATGTCATTTTATTTTTGTTTTTATTCATTGAAAAATTCAAAAAAAGAAAATAAAAACATATTTAATTTTTCTTTCAATAGACGCGGGAAAATTGTATGTATATAGTAAAGTATTTTTTTTTGTCAAAAAGTTTAATTTCTACGTAGAAATTTTTTATTACCACAATAAGCATTGATTATTGTTTCGAGAATTTTTAATTATTTTAAATATAAACTTGTCTTTCTTGAACAATATAATTGGTCCGAATAAATTTGCAAAAAAAAAGAATTTTTTTTTTTTTTTTTTAATCGGAGTTAGAGAATTTGCAACAGAAATTTTGGTTCCTTTGTTTAATTATAAATAACAACTAATTGTAAGTAAAAAGGTACGAGCGAAGTAGCGTGGAAAAATTTATTTCCAGATATAAATAACAGTAAATTTATAAAGCGTTCTAATGTGATAGTCATCCCTCATTGTTTTACAATTCAAGGTAAATTAGAAAAAACCATTTTTTTTTATAAAGATTAATAATAATTTGATCACGTCCGAAAAATGCAGAAAAAGATTCATGCAGAAAGAAAAGGGAAAGATTAGGAGGAGAAACCCCTCCCACTTGCGTTCTAAACTAAAAGCTTCTCCCACTATTATTAAAATGAGAGGGGAATTCATCCCACTTTTTGCCCATGTAGGCGGATGCTCCGCCCACATAAGTATAGAATGTGAGATGAAACTCCGCCCACATTATGCGAAATTACCATTGTAAGAGAAAAGCTCCACCCCCTTTTTCTAAACATGAATATAAGCACCGCCCACATTAATTTTAGTATATAGTAGGAGGAGAAACTCCGCCCAAATGGGACAAGCTCCGCCCCTTTTTAATCTCTAAGGACGGGAAGCTCCTCCCACTTTAGACTCCGCCCACTGTTTTGAACAAAGAGGCAGAAGATCCTCCCATATTATTGTAAATATAGACTGAAAGGGGCAGTCTCCGCCCACTCTGTTTTGAACATGGAAATAAGCTCCGCCCCTTTTTTATCTATATCATAGAGTGGGATGGAAAACTCCGCCCATTTTGTACAAAAAGGAAGGACAATTCCACCCACTGCTTTCTGGACATGAAGAAGCTCCGCCCACTTTATTCAAATTACAGAATGGGAGGGGAAAGCTCCACCCACACGGAGGGAGATGCTCCGTCCATTATATGAAAAAAACATAGAGTTTCGTTTAAATCGTAAAAAAAACATGAAAAACTCTATATTCGGACCATTATGGATTTATAATAATAAAAAATTGTTCTCGAATTTATAAATTTTTAAAATTTTGTTTTTCAGAAAAAATGAGTTCTAAATTATTTTGGTGTTCATTTTTTTTTGTATTTATGTCAATTTATGAAATTTATCACATAAAAAAAGAAAAAAAAATCAAAATTAAAATCAGGAAATTGAAATTAAACGTGATATTTGAAGAGCTATCAAATGAAACTGATAGATAATAATAAATGCCTCGGGTATTTGTAAATCAAGAAATTATTGATTCAATCAGTGTGTGAGTCGATTTAGCCGATAACTTCCTAATCAACTTTAGTTGGAAAATTAACAATTTCAAGAAAATCTCAACGCTTCATTATTGAAAATCAATGCAGTACCTTACTTGATATTTATATATATGTAATTAATTTTTTTATGCTGTTTCTTGTTTTTCAAAAATTTCATCGAAATAATTTGGTTAAAATTTTTACGAGTTTTGGACCCATTTATTTTATTTTTTTTTGAAAATTCGAAATTTGTATATTATTTTTGTAGTTAAAAGTTTATTGACGGAAGAAATGCTGCCTTTGGTCGTTTATGTTGGAAAAATTGACAATCTAAATAAAAAAAAAAAAAAAATTCAGCAGAAAAGAGGCGAAAAATTTGATTATTTACTATGAAAAAAAAAAAAAACTTTGAGAGGATTGACTCTGGAGGTAGAAAATGTGTTTGATGAAAAAGATTTATATTTCAGCGAAAGATGAGTATACTAAATCGACGAAATTTCTACCAAATTATAATAAGGTGGAAAAATTGTTTTAAAAATTCATGCGAGAGGCAATCATGTGATTTTTTTTTAGACCAATAGATATATAAAGTTTTATTATTGACCTTTGTCTGCAAATTTAGGTCACGTGATAATATCACATTCTAAGCCATGGATGGCAATAAGATTAACTCGTAAAGTCTAAAAAGATTCGTTTTGTCTAGTTTTATATTTTATTAATTTTTTTTTTCAATTCTTTTTCACGTTATTATATGTATATATTTATATTGAATTTTTTAAAAATCATTCGCTAACGATTTAATATATTTTTTTTTGTTTATTTAAATTTTTTAAATATACTAATTCGAAGCAATGTACATGAGCTAAAATCTATTTATTTTTTTTATTTTGGTAAATATACAGCGATGCCTACTTTCTATATATGTATAATATATATGTAAAAAGTATACATATTTAATTAAGCGTGTGTATAATCAATTGAATTTTTATCATTATTTCTAGAATGATAGAAATTTGTATTATGCACATTTTCGGCCGATTCGCGAACACTACTTGCTCTGAGATCTTGTTTCTTTTATTTTTTGAGATCATTCTGATCAAAAAATTTACGTCTAACGATTCCACACAATATCTTTTCTAGTGTGTTAAAAAAAGAAATTGATTTTTTTTCCTCCCCGTTAGAAATTATAATAAATTATTATTTAATTAAAATAATAACTTTAGATTATATTTTAAAAAAAAAATTATATTTACTACCTGAAGCACTAATAATTTAATTATTGAAATTTTTAGTACATTTTTTTCTATACGCTTCTTGTTTTCTATTTTTTAACTTCGTCCCTTGGTTACGTTGTTGTTATTATTATTATTATTAACGATGTTTAAATTGTCACTATTTTGCAGTAAAATTATTATTTTTTATTATAGTAATTGTCAAAATTAGAGTTCATAATTTTTTTTTGTTTATAAAAATCTTCATACAAATAAGAGATTGTTGTTTTTTTTTGGTAAAAGCACATTTGGAATGGTCAGTAGAATGATTAGTAGAGGCTGAACTAGTGTTAGTGGATTGTTTTTTTTTTAACTTTCCCACCCCGCTCGACTTTTGTTGCGCGCGCACTATGTGAATAAAGCTCTCTGATTGGTCCTCGCACGCTATCCCCACTCTTTGCGTGTCATGCGCGCAACATTCTTCATTCAAGCATTTAATAATAAGGATTTAGAATAGCTCACTAGTTCCACTTTAATGATTATTATTATTAGAATAACAATATTGTTGATTACTAATTTTTAACCATGATTGTCAATTTGTTCAGTGTATAAAATTTCGGAAATATAACAATTGAAAAATAAAACAGGAAGTTCCGCCTTCATTTTCTAATTTATAGATTGAAAACACCGCTTACTAAAAAGAAATTCCTCCCCTGTTGCAATATAGAAAAAGCTCCGCCCATTGAGAGTAAAACTCCTCCCCTACTGTTACAATATAGAAGAAGCTCCGCCCACTGAGGAAAACTCCTCCCATATTGTTGAAATATACAACAACTGTAATGAAACCACTCCCACATTGTTGTAATATAAAAGAGGTTCCGCCCACTAAAAGTAAACTTCTCCCACTTTGTTACAATATAGAATTAGCTCCACCCACTATAAGATGACTCCTCCCCTACTGTTACAATATAGAAGACGCTCCGCCCACTGAGGGAGAAATTCCTCCCATATTGTTGCAATATAGAAGATGCTCCGCCCATTGAGTGTAAAACTCCTCCCCTACTGTTACAATATAGAAGAAGCTCCACCCACTGAGGAAAACTCCTCCCATATTGTTGCAGTATAGAATAGGCTCCTCCCACTGTAATGAAACCCCTTCCACATTTTTGTATTATAAAAGAGGTTCCACCCACTAAAAGGAAACTCCTCCCACTTTGTTGCAATATATAATTAGCTCCACCCACTACAAGGTAACTACTCCTCTAATGTTACAATATAGAAGAAGCTCCGCCCAATTTCTATCGTATAAAGTAAAAAATTTTAAAAATAAGCAATTTTTAATAAAAAATTTTAAACAAAGAAATGATTAATAAGTAATTAAAGAACTTTTTTTTGAATCAAAAAAGCGCGCAAATTGAATCTATAATATAAACGGTGTTATCAAATGCACTAAAAGGCATCATTAATGTCGCTTCCTTTGTTATAAGCTGGCACTGCTCTAATTGATGATATTGATTATATCATGACTTTACTTCCTATTATCGTTAAGTCATTAGACATGAGACATAATAACGAGGGTAACAGGCACTAATGCATGTTCTATTGTTCTATATAAACGCACATTTTCTTTTTCTAATAAAAAAATAAATAAACATTCAATATCTTCGTTAAACGGTTTAATATTTCTTTTAAAGATAAATTAATGAAAAAAATTCAAATTATTTTTATTGAAATTAGTAAAGATTTGAAAAAAAAAATTAATTCAAAAACTACGGGTGAAATAGTTTTTTTTTTTTTTAATTTTTCAAGAAAAGTGCGGAATCATCAAAAACTTTAGATCTCTTTAATCCGGTTTGCAATTACATTGGACCCTACTCTTATTTGCAATAAATATTTGATTAATTATTATTCCTATTATTATTATTATTATTTTTATTATTGGGTAATATTAAAAATACCATTAAGAGATTTTTTTTTAAACGAAGGAGAGATAATTTAATCGACTAGTATATTAATTAGCGAATTGAATTAATTGATTAGGCGGTTTAATTAATTAACGATATTATTAATTAGAATTCATTTATTGGCATTGTCATTAATTAACCAACCTTATAAATAATTAATTAGTAACGTAATTAATTAATTAATACTTTAATTCATAAATGTTTGATGAATTAAATTAATTGATTGATTAATTAAATTAATTAATTATTGCGCCTTTCTATACTAATATTTACATTTTTTTTCTAGGAATTTTTCAAAATGTCAATTAAATAAATAAAAAATTGTTTTGTTCACTAATTTTTTTATGACAAATGTAAAAAAACAAAATATATTCTAAAATTATTACCTCTTAAAATGATAAATAATCGATCAAATCAAAATATAATTATTAATTTTTTGGGAGAATAATTATTAATTAGGAAAAATTTTTTTTTCAATTATATCGATCGAAAATTTTTTAAAGCATAATCCGGATAAATTAAGTTCGTATTTATTTATTTTTTTTATTTATATAAAAATTGCGTGCAATCGATTCGGAGAAAATAATATCGTATCGGCGACGTTTTTCATACTTATTTTTTTTTTTTAGTATAAAATATATATATTTATATATTATACATATATTAATATGTATATAGTGTATTTATAAGATCGAGCGATAATCGGTGCTTATTTCGAATTAACGTTTTGTTTTGTTTTTTTTTTTTGGTTTTGCTTATTTTCAATTAATATAATTTTATAATTAATATTTACAGTGTGACTTTATATTATACTAAAATTCTTATAATTATCATAATTTATTACTGCGATTCTTTGGTGTATCGAAGACTAATTTTACGATACTTATAGCGAGATAAATTTACATCTAGAATTAAGATTAATTAATATTTTTTTTTTTATTAGTAAGTATAAATTTAGAAGACCGGACTAGCGTTAACGTGACGTATTTTTTTTTAATTAATATTTTTTGCACAACGCTAAACCGATCATTTACTTAATACGATTGACTCATTTTTTTTATATCCTTCATTGATTCATTCGGTGATAAATTTTTTTTCGACTCGATTCTTCTTGGAACGAACACGAGGTGAAATTATTTTATTGGTGCAAACTTACGAAGCTGTGAATCTGATCCATTAAAAATTTTTTTTTTTCTGTTTTTTTGTGCAGATGACGCAAAGATCATTTATACACAGATTTCACAAATTTTTCATTAACAATTTTTTTAATATATTTTTATTTTATAATTTTATTTTTTTCTTTTTACACAAAAAAAAGAAAAGGATAAAAATTAAAATTAGAAATAAAAAAATTGTCAATGTATCTTTTTTTTTAATTTTAAGAATTTCGTGAAATCTTTATCTTTGCGTCATTTTGTGACTTTTCTGTGCGTATAGCTTCGTTACCTGTTTATTTTTTTTTTGTTTGACAGGCGTCTTAATTAGAAAAAAATAGATATATGAACTTTGTTAATCCGCTTGTATCCGATATTTACCTATTTCGTATAAGAAACGATACTTAAATCGAAGATATGTCTTATCAATATCAGTTTTGTAAGGACAATGAGCTGAAGAAGTTATTTTTTTTTTCGTTTCTTCTATCTTTGTCGGATTTCATTAACATTATAGCCCACCTACCCCAATCCCACCCCCCTCAACAAAACTCAATTGCAAACATATTTTGAGCCACTTTCACTAATCACAATATCATTATAATGATATTATTAAATTATTCCACGATCTCAAATAAAACATATATATATATATATATATATATATATATTATACTTTCGTCAAATTACTCATTTCATATTAGTAAAAAAAAATTCACTGAATAATTTAATAGCATCAATAATAATAATAATAATTTTACGAGTTTTTTTTTTGTTTAAGAAGATAACTCTCTTCATCTATAACGGAAAAATTGTCTCAGTTACTTGCATTGGTCGCGAATTTATTCGAAGAAATTTGCCTCGTTCCTTTGAAAAGTTGCCGTCGTCGCACTACGCCGCTCAATCGATGCATAAACTCTCACATTTTCATCCTCTTTCCGCATAGCACTGTATGATATTCAACAGTAATCGGGTGAAGGCCACTTTCCTAAATGAGTTAGAGAGACAGAGACACACACAATTGAATACAGATAAAATTTACCCCAAGAGATTTTATTCTTCTCGAAAATTTTTTTAGTCTATATTTCATTAAATTACATTGTAATTTATTAAAAGTAATAGCTAGTAAAATAAATAAAATAGAGAACAAATAGTTTTTTCGTAAAAGAGATTTAAAGTTTTGTCACGAGTAAAAAAAAAAAGATTATAATGTAGAAAAAACTCTGCCTACTTTTGTTAGGAACGTAGAATAGGAAATTTTACACAATCAGTAGGCGGGGAAAATATAAACCACGTCCTTAATAGACGTTGCAAAAGCTGGTAAAGCATTTTGTAGGCGGGGAAATTATAAGCCACGCCCTTAGTAGGCGTTACAAAAATTGTTGACGCCTTCTGTAGGAGGGATAATTGTAAGCCACACCCAAACTGGGCGTGGTAATAAGTTTTCTTAGGTGGGGAAATTATAATCCACGCCCTTAGTAGGCGTTGCAAAAATTGTTAACGCCTACTGTAGGTGGTGTAATAATAAGCCACTCCCACAGTAGGCGGATAAATTAAAGGTCACTCCCACGAAGTAGGCGGGTAAATTGTAAGCCACGCCTACAAGGATAGCACATTATAAGTCACACCCGAACAGGGTGTGATAATAACCATCTAAACTTTTTGTGGGCGGAGAAATTATAAGCCACGCCCTCAGTAGGCGTGGTAAAAATTGTTAACGCCTTCTATAAGCGGGGCAATTGCAAGCCACACCAAAAATAGGCGTGGTAATAAATTTTTGTAAAAGGATAAATTATAAGCCACGCCTAAAGTAAGCGTTAAATATTATTAAAGCCGTATGTGCGCGGGGGATATTGTAAGCCACGCCCACAAGACGGTGAATTATGATTCAAACCCTTAGTAGGCGTTAGAAAAACGATGTAAATCTTTTTGTAGGAGGGAAAATCATAAGCCATGCCTTTAGTAGACGTTAAGAAAGTTATTAAAAATTTTTGTAGGTCAGAAAATATCTAGCTACTTCTATTTAGTTGCGAAACTTTAAACCTCTCTTCATTAAAAATGTTAATTACGTAGAAAAATATTTGTATATTTATTTTTATTCTTTTTTTGCAAGTTATACTGTAATATTTAGTTTATATTTTTTAATTTTATTTTACTTATTATTTCATTGAGAGAAATTGAAATATTTTTTTTCTTTCAGTGAATGTAAAAATGTTTTTACCTTGTGTTTACGATTTTGAGAATTTTTAATCGCAAATCCATTCGTCTTGTCATCAATGGAGAAGAATATGGGTAGATATATGAAGATGGAAAAATCAAATTCGATCTTCAAAAAAGTGGAATTTTCACCGATTTCCGCTGAACACTTTTTATATTTTGCTTATTTATTTTTTTTTTTTTGGTTTACGCTTATTTTAATTAAGGAATAAAGCATTTAATAAGTTTTGGTGATAGCGTAAAATCGGCGGGGGCTATTTGTTACACATCATCCTCGACGCTTCTCAAGGGAATTTGTAATTTCTGTGCCAGTGCATTTACCACGTGGACAAGTTGATCAAGTTTTTTGTCCATCACCGCCAACTGAAATTGAAAAAAAAACAGAATTTTTTTTTTTTAATTTTCCAAGTATTTTTTTTTATTTATTATTTAAATATTATTATTATTATTATACCTAGACATGTGATGTATATATCTATATTTGTTTTTATATGGATAATTAATTTTCTTAGATTAGCGCGCGAGTAGATTGGAATAGTGAAATAAGACCTTCTTGGAATAATTCTCTTTTGACTCGCATTTTCTGCAAAGCTTTAAGCCGATCAGTCAAGTTCTTGATCCGTATATATATATATATAAGGTCGACGTCAAGGAAAGACAAAACTTTTACGACAATATATGAATGTTGAATAGGATACAGGAAATTTAATGTCAACCGAGAGAAAACCGCGCGTCAGGATTACCAACTTAATCGAGTATTCGTGAGTCTTTTGGAAATGGAAAATTGATATATTATTTGAAGCTCTTTTCCAGGAAAATACAACATTGCAACCGCGAAATACATATATCAAAGTATTCAAAAGTGACATAATAATAATAATAATAATAATAAAAAAATCAATTTAAAAAAAAATTATATTTCAAATTACAAAATTAAATAATTATACAAAAAATATAGTCGTTATATTGGATCCACGATTTTGAATTTTAAAATAAAAAACATTGTTTTTGACGATTGTTTTAAATATATATATATATATCTATTTAACTTTACAAAAATTTTAACGCTTAAGGGTGAAAAAAAATAAATAAATACAATCAATCTGTTCAGAATTTTAAAATGGTTTTTCAATTTAATACATCTATTTCCTGGTAAGTAATTTCAGTTGCTAATGGATTTTGCATTATTTCCTCAACGTAGTTTTTTTTTTTTTATTATTTTACCATTTTCATCGGGATGTGAAGGTGAAAAAAAGGAAAAAAAAAAATTTATATTGATATGAGAATAAAAAAAATTTTTTACCTGCTGCTCCACGCGGTAAAGACGTGCGCCAATCGTCATGGGCTTTACGTTGCCTGCGCGGTCGATGCCTGCCAGGTAGCTTCCTGGTTTACCCAGGGTTTGATCCAACCTCCTCTGCAACTCCTGCGAAAATCCCAAGCATTGATTTTCACATTATCCAAATCATTTATTGAAATATTTAATCTAGAGGAGTGTTCACACACATACACATACATCTATATATATATATATATAGATATAGAAAAGTACCATTGAATTAAACATAGAGATGATAGAAATACACTAGGTCGAAGAAAAAAATCACTAATCTTCAAAATCTCGTGCTTTGTTTGTTTGTTTTTTTTTTAAATAAAACATCCATTATTATCCTCGGCACTAATTAATGAACTTTACCAAAATTCAAATAACAATTACCGTCGAGTTATTTTAATAATGGATAAAGTTATTTGAAACTCGTAAGCATAATTTACGTTTATAATTAGTCAAATATAATTATTGCTCACAAGCACACAAGTCTCCAATTAACATAATAATTTCGAAAATTAATAATGCTTTTTGTAATTAAATATTACGGTCAAACAGAATTAAAAATCAATATATATATATATTGCTCATTTTGCTTCACTGATATTGTAATATCACCAAGAAATACGATTCATCGAATATTTTAATCAAAAAAAAAAAAAAGGAGAAAGAGAAAGAGAAAAAAAAGAAAACTCCATAAAAGCTAAACTGTTACTAGTACGTAGATTAAAAATTTTACCAGAATTTTTTCAACCCGATTAATGATTTAATTTTTTTATACACACATACATACACGATATAAGTGCCCATAGGTTTGATTAGCCATTTTGTTATTCAAACGGGTGGCACTTTGACAAGTCCATTGTTCCTTTGAATTTTATTGCACGACTGTTTCGAAAACGCACTCACACACAAACACTGGAAAATAGTTACAACTTTGTAACAATAGATATCGATCGTTGCCAAAGGCAACTTTCAGTGGTAAAATTGAAACATGACAGAGAATTTTCAAAGCCAGAAGAAAAAACAAATCTCTTTGTAATTTAAACCACATTAATGAAAACTAAACTGTTATTTTTAAAATTAAAATTAAATAATGTTTTACAACAAATAACGAACTACAAAAAATTAATTTCAAAACTCATAAATAATAACAAATTCTACTATAGGCCGCAGAAATATAAGTCACGCCCTACGTAGGCCTCACAAATAATATTTCCGCCTACAATAAAATATGTCAATTATAAGCCACGCCCTAATTAGGCGTTGCAAAAATTGTTGACGCCTTCTGTAGGCGGAGTAATTGTAAGCCACACCCGAAGTGGGCGTGGCAATAAGAGTTCGGAGGTGGGGATATTATAAATCACGCCTTTAATAGGCGTCACAAGAGCCAGTAAAGCCTTTTGTAGGCGGGGAAAATATAAGCCACGCCCTTCTAAGGCGTTGAAAAAAGTTGTTGACGCCTTTTTTAGGCGGAAAAATGGTAAGTCACACCCAAAATAGGCGTGGTAATAAGTACTTAAACTTTTTGTAGGAGGAGAAACTATAAGCCACGCCCTAAGTAGGCGTTATTTAAAAAATCTAAAAACTGTAGGCGGAGAAATTTTTATCCACGCCCCTAAGGAGAGTAAAAGCTGACTGAATCTTGTTAAATAGAATAATAAAAATTGTTTAACCTATATTACCAATTCTTTCTATCAAAATTGAAATAACTATTTGATATTTCTTAAATAACCATTTATACTTTGTTAATAGAAATTGTTTAAATAATTTCGAATATTCTATAAATGGTGAATGGGTTGCGAAAAAAATAGAAAAACCATATAACTGATCATCAATACAGCAATAGAGGCAAATTCTCTAAAATCAGTAGTGTTTATTCACCTACAGTATTTCCTCGAATTTAGTCTTTGAAGGTGAAAAAAAAAAATTCAAATTGAAACGAGTATAGTGGTTTTAATTAAAATGCCAACGAAAAAGGGGAACTGCACTTTTTATTATCACATTGTTTTAGAATATTGTGTTTGACAGAATAAAAAAAAAAATTAAAATCCTTTGAGACAAGTGAATTTAAAAGGAAATGAATAATTCTATCAATTAGACTGTCAATCGTGTGAATATTTTTCACATATCAAACTCATTATTATTGAATATTGTTTTTTTTTTTTTTTTTTTTTGACTGAACTACGCTAAAAATCAATATTCGCGTAATATTATTACCATAATATTAATTAAAATGGAATTTTTAATATATGTATATCGTAAAAAAAACTCACGTCAGGATTAATATTATTTTTCAATTTTTTTCTTTTTTGAGAAAAATAAATAAAAAAATTAAGTATATTCATTATAAATGTCAAAGCTGCGGTGATCGATTGCGCAACTTTTCTCACATCACACTTTTTCACGTCCCATAAATCGTAATTTGTGCCTTTGACATTTAAAAGGAATGCATCTTTAAAAAAAATTGATTTTTTTTTATGATTTTGATGAAAGAAAGTAATTGGGGTTTTTTTTGGGGGGGAGGGAGGGGTCGTAGAATAAAAAATCTGACATCAGGGGATCGATTATGTAATTTCACTTTCACTGATTCTAATTTTCACTCTCAATTTTAATAATTTTTAACCACTAGAAGTGAATATGAAAATGTGGGAGAAAATTATAATCTTTTTTGGGTGAAAGTGAAAATATGAGTGAAAATTAAATTCAGGAAGTGAATATATAGGGAATAAAATAAAAATAAAATAAATAGTGATGTTTAGTTCTCATAGTTTTTCTTTTTTTTCTCTCTCTATCGAATATAGAAATATTAGGATCAATAAATAGATATGTGTGCGATTTAACTGATAAAGAGAACAATGTGCCCACCTTTATTCGCACCATCATGTTGAGGTGTCCTTGGCTGTACTGCTCGATTACATCCCGCACATCGTAGGGCTTGCGAGCTTGTTGGAACTTTCTACGGGCCACGAAGTATTTGATCTTTCTGATTGCTCTGATGGCATTTCGATGTGCCTCCGTTAACCTGAAAGCGAAATATTCCACATCAAAGAGCTAGTCACGTGTTTTTTACCCCAATATATCATTTAATTCGTATCAGATGAGAAAAACGGTAAAATTATTTTCAAAAAAAAAAAATTATTTTCGTTTAAAAAAAATTGTCAAACTAAAAATAAAAATTAATACTCAATATAAAGAAAAATTAATTAAACCAATTTTTTTCAACATTTCGAATATTAAAATAATTTTTTTTTTTTTTTGAAATGTTAATTTTATACAACTTATGTGGGATTATGTAGATTCAAGAGACATTATAAAGTTTCATTAAGTCAATAATCTTTGAAGATAAATTTACTTAAGAAACTTCTCAAACGTAAAGAAAGAGAGAGCGCTATATATATACACTGAGAGAGTGAAACTCTAATTACAGATTTCAAAATTAATCTTATAGCGCATTGTTTTCGTTTTAAATATGTTTAAGCTTCATACTATCAAAGGCTTCATTTCCCTTTACAATCTCAAATGAATGCCGCTCAAATACTATATAGAGAATTAAATTATAATTTACACTTACATTCATTTTCTATTTTTCAATTATAATTACAAGAAGTTATTATGAAAATACTTTTGCAGGTAGCCTGTTTTTTTTGCAGGCGTCTAAAAAAACCAAAAAAAACATTTTTTAGGCGTGTCAAATATAAACCACGCCCTTTTTAAAACCACTCCTACAACAAAAATCGTAAGATACATCCTAAATAGCAGTTACAGAAACTATCGAAACACGTTTAAGACTAAAAATTGCAAGCCACGCCTACTATCTAGGCGTGACGTTATTCACGCCCTAAGTAGGCGTGGCGAAAACTATAAAAACCTTTTGTAGGAACATAAATTCTAAGCCACGCCCCCAAGGGTAGTAAATTACAAGCCACACCCAAAGTAGGCGTGGTAATAAATAGAAAAATTTTTCTCGTAGGAGGGAAAATTGTAAACCACGCCCTGTGGGCGTGGAGTAGATAAATTTTTCATAGGAGGGGAAATTCTAAGCCACGCCCACTCAGGCGGATAAATTATAAACCACACCCTAAATAGGCGTGGTGAATAAATATTAAAATCTTTTGTAGGTGGCAAAAATTTTAACCACGCCCACAAGGCAGGCAAAAGTATAAACCACACCTAAGTAGGCGTGACAAAAACTTTATGTAGGCGAAAAATTTTTAAGCCACGCCTTCATTAAACTTAAATGATGTCTAATGATATAAAAATTTGTTTTTAAATTATATATTTTAATGAATAAAACATCTTTTACAAAATTCATGATATTTTTTAATGTTGAAAATTTAACTTACAATGTCTATTGTAAAAAATAAATTATCAATGGAAGAACTTGTAAATTATCATTACAAAACTGTCATTGTGGAATATATTAATGTGATAATAATAAGAAGTGCCAGATATTCTATTGTTCGGAAGCGAATGCTGTTTCTGTGGAATGGTACTTCGGCTTGAAATCCACCAAGCTTTATTCACTCGAGTAGTCTACTCACAATGGGTTTAATATGGAGTCTGAGATGTCAGATGAAAAAGGAACTTGAAACCGAGAATATAGACAAATCGATAAGATTATTCTTTTTTTTTTTTTGCTTTTGTGGTTGGAAAAACTTTACATTTGAAAATTGAATCAATATTGAAGATGATCGATAGCTTTCGTAGATCAATTATTATTATTATTATAATATACAATATTTCTCTTTTTCAACAGCTTCAGGAAAAAGCTCTTTAATTTATTTATACTTTTAATTATAGTAGAAACTGTGGGAAATTTTTTTTTTTTTGTTACAAGGGAATAATAGCGCAAACGTATATAAATTAAAAAAAAAGAAAAAAACTTGAGTAATATAAATGTCTAAAAATGAAAAAAAGCAAAGTTTGAAGATGGTCGATTTTCCAGTTGGAGTTAGATGAAAATGTAGGTCGTTACGTGAAGTAATGTAGTACTAGAGAGCATTTATGTTTCACTTTAAACAAAGAAGGTTTTTCAACAGTAAGCTTGCTGCACAAGGTTATAACTTTATTGCGTGTGGGGAAAATCTGTTTTCAAAAAAAAAAAAAGAAAAAAAAATCCTTCCAGCTATAAAAATGGAAATATATCCGTGAATGAAACTTGACGTGATGTAAAGTATCATCTCAATTCGTGGAAAAGTTGCCTCGGGCATTGCTCATTTCGATATCATTTTTATGTCAACTACAGATCAAAATTTTCCAGATTTTCACAATAACTTCTTTTGGTGATTATATTTTTTTATACCTTAAATTGTAATTCTGTTAATTTTTTAATAAGTTTTTATATATATATATTTTTTTTTTAAATATTTATTTTTTCTTTTAATGACTGAAATAATAATAAACGTCATTTTAAAATTGTAATTTTACTTTATATTTTCTCATCTTATGTTTAATATATATATAATATATACATTGACTCAAAGCTTGTGTGCTTACGTGGTAACTCTTTGGGGCTCCTCGATGTCAATGTCAATTTCGTCGCTGGCAGCCTCCGTCACAGAGCTCGTTTGCGAAGTGAAGAGGCTTCCCCTACAGATTGGAAACACACTATTCACACTAACATGCACAAACCATGTTTTCTAGGCAAGCACTCTCTTCTCCAACAGAGAGTGCTTTTTAATTAGTCAACTATAGTTTGGCATTAATCGTTAATGCAATTATTTATTTAAAAAAGGTGACAAAAAAGAAATTCAACTATTTATATAAAAAAAAATTTAACATTTTGATCATAAAATTTATGTCATAAAAAAAAATCGGAGACCAAAAGGAAGAGGATAGTCAAGAAGAAAAGAAGTTCTTAAAGAAAAGTTGTCATTGCTTTAAAACAATTATAAAAATATTCAAGAAACTATAAGCCACGCCTTCTATAGGCGTGTAAAATATTTAGTAGGCGTAGACATTTTAAGCCACACCTACAAAGCGAGAAAAGTATATCTTTTATAGGTGGAGAAATAATAAGCCACGCCTTTAGTAGGCGGATAAATTAAAAGCCACTCCCACAAAGTAGGCGGGTCAATTGTAAGCCACATCCAAAGTAGGCGTGGTAATAAGTATCTAAACTTTTCGTAGGAGGGGCAATTATAAACCACGCCCTAAGTAGGCGTTATAAAAATTGTCGAATCATTCCGTAGGCGGATAAATTGTAAGCCACACACAAAGTAGGCGTATCTAAAAATTTTCGTAGGAGGTGCAACTATAAGCCACACCCTACGTAGAGGTTACTTAAAAATTTTTTTTAACTGTTTGTAGGTGATGAAATTTTTATCCACGCCAATAAAGTTTGCAAATTAAAATTTATACCCTCAGTAGGCGTTACAATGTCTTTAGTAGACGTTGAAATTCCAAGCCACTTCCACAAGGTGGAAAACTATATTTCACGCTCTGGGGGGAGTGGTGCAAAAACTTTCAAAATATAAGGGGGATTTTGTGCTAATGATTAGCCCTAGAAAAAATGCAAACGAAATTAATTGTTTTAAAGTTATGATAGTCTTTTTAAAAACAATGAAATTTACGAAAAGGAAATCAGTTTGCTTTTGAACAACAAAGGCTATTTAAGGTAACAGGTAAAATAAAAGAAGATGAAGAAAGTAAAGAATGTTGAGTAATTAACAAAAAGTTAAGAGCGTAGAACTTTTAATGGCAAGCTGAAATCGTTTATAGTTGAAGTGAAACAATCTTGAAAAGTTTCTGGAAAAATTATTATTAAAGTTTACTGTATGGAAATTATTATTTTTTTTTTTTTGTAGGAAATACATTTCTCAAAGTAAATATCTATCAGAATTGAAATAAGAAGGGGGGGGGGGGCGGGCGGGAAATGTATTTCTGTGACTTCAAAAGGAAATGAAAGCATGAAGGGTGGAATACAGACATACAATAAAGTATTAGAATTTTCCTGAGATAATGTTCCCTAAGGGAAATTTGAGGATTTACGTTCAACATTGAGGAATGGGGATGGTTGCTGTCAGGTGCAATGTACGTTGGTTAGGAGATGAGGCGGTTTTCAAGAGAGAGAGAGAGGGAGATAGAAGCCTGTCAACTTGTCACTTACCGATTGTCTCTTCTCGCTCTATTAGGCGTGCTTGCTTTTGGCTCCTCCATGTAGAAGACTACATCGTTCTCGTTCTCCATTCGTTGTTGTGAGCCATTTTGCCCTGCAGTTGTGCCACCACCGGATATCGTTACCGGCGGCAATGCCTGTTGTTGTTGTTGCTGTTGTTGTTGTTGTTGACTTTGTTGTACGTCCATTCGATTACGGGATTTTCGCCTCTTCAGGACACTCGCCTTTTTGGCCACCTGGATCATCAGAGACTGAACCCCCGGTGCCCTCCCGTTACAACACATAAAACACACAGCATGCACTAAAACCACCACGACTTTTTTTTTTTTTTTTGTAAAATGTCATGGTAATCCGTTTCCCATATTGTTTTGTGTTGTTTTTTTGTTTTGGAAATTCAAGCTCGTCTAATTAAATAATATTTTTTTAATTTTGTTAATTTTTGGAATTTTTGATTTGATTTGGATAATTTATTGTATAATTCTTTAAAGATCAATTTTTAAGTCTAGTAATTTTTGTAATCCATGTAAGTTGTGGGTTCTAGGGAATCGATAATTTTGAATTGGTATGATTTTCGAAAAATAAAAATGGCGGTTCCAAGATGGCGGATAAAAATTAAAAAGTCGAGCTAAGCTCATAAAATTGACTACTCGGGGGTTTTTGAGGTCGCTGATTACGAATTCGATGTTAGTTTTTCAAAATTCAAAATGGCGGATCCAAAATGGACGATTAAAAAATTAAAAAGTCAAGCTAAGTTAATAATAATGATTACTCGGGGGTTTTCGGGGTCGCTGATTACGAATCTGATGTTAGTTTTTCGAAATTCAAAAGGGCGGATCCAAAATGGCGAATAAAAAACCAAAAATTCAATCTGAGCTTATAAAATTGACTACTCGGGGGTTTTTGGGGTCGCTGATTACGAATCCGATGTTAGTTTTTCAAAATTCAAAATGGCGGATCCAAAATGTCAGATAAAAAAAATTAGAAAGTTTCAGCTAAGCTTATAAAAATAACTACTCGGGGGTTTTCGGGATTACAAAAACCACTAGAACTATTAAATAAAAAAATATTATCAAGTCATCAATGTCAATATAAATTTTTATCTTTCAATATTCCAAAAGTTCACAGAATCTTCGATTACCAGATTACATATGTGTTCGTAAATATTATATCCACAGATATATATATATATATGTATCTGTGAAATTAGAAGGCGAACGTGAATTTCCAACCTCTCTCAGTAGTATTAAAGTTCAACACAAGGTACAATTTCCTCTTGGATTGATTCCAAAAAAAAATTGTTCTGTGTAAGTGAACATAATATATATATATTTATATATTTAAAAAAAATTGAATATATATACGTATTTAATACTTTGATGCGTGCATTATTTACAAATTTTTTTTTGCGCGCGAAAAAATTTAAGCTCATGCATAAAAGCTCTATAATCTAATAAGTTCTTTTTTTAAGTTCTGTAATGAAAAAACTCCTTTTGATGATATTCTACATTCATGATATATTTAAATATTCAGTTTGAATTGTAAGAGACAATTTTTGACTAGTTAAAATATTATTTTAGACGTAACACTTATATTTAAATTTAATTTAAAAAAAAAAAATTTACAATTTTCTATTTTTTTCGGCTAAATGAATTAAAATATAATTTCAAAAGTAAGTTTTTTCGATGTTTACATTATTTAATAATTATTTTTTTATTTCTTTTTTTCTTGCGATGAAAGTAATTCAGCGTGGACTTGTATTGTCGTGCAACTTGCAAATCGATGTCGATTAAAAGATAATAACTATATAGGAGTCATATATCGTAAAAACGATTTAGTGTTTTGGCTTTTATATAGTCTACACGACAGGAGAAAGAGAGAGAAAGAGATATGTTTCAAAAGAGGCAAAATGTAAACGAGAGCGATTCCAAAAGCACTTGCGTGCTATGATAAAATTCGCGATAGCCAAAAAACAATAATTCTATCTGTCAAGAGATACTTGAATGGATAAATTAGTTTTGATTCAACCGAAACGAAAGATTAACTAAATTAAACTAAGATATTTTTTTTTACATTAAGAACAAAAAAAAAGAATAATAATAAAAGCGTGTACTTTCTAGATGATAAATAAAAAAAATATTTATTTAACTATATAAAAATATATAAAAATATAAATACCTATAATAGTAATATAGTAAATATAAATTTCAATATTAAAAAGAAATTAGAAAGATGATAATTTAAAGATAATACAAAAAAGCTGTATTACATTCGTTATAAATTAAATTGCAAAGAAAAAAAGAAAAATAATCTAAATTTAAAGATATTAAAAAGTTGAGGAAAGTTAATTTTTCGTTTTTCAAAAAGCCATTTATTTTTTTAAAATTAATTTGTCGATTTCATTTTCAAGTCTCTGTCAAAAAAAAAATAATAATAATAATAAAAATCTTTCATCTCGGGGAATTCGTATTGTTTAATTATTCAAACATCTGAAATCTTATAACTGATTTTTTTTAAAATAAATACAAAAAAAATATTCAAAAGAAAATAAATTTCTGTTCTATTTACTAAAATCTGTACCAACATATTTTTAGGTTATGATAAATGTCTTTATAAAAATTGCCTTGTTCATTGCGCATGCGCATGCGCATGTCAAGTGTCGATAACTTGTCGGTACAGATTCCTGTAAATTGAAATTTTTCAAAAAATTTTTAATTTAAAAATAACAAATATTTTTTTTTGTTTGTTTATTTTTTCAAGAAAATAAATAAATTCGATTAAAAGGTCATTTATGTAGTTCAGTGATATCGACATAAATATTAAAAAATTGAGATAAATATGGCTCGTTTATAATATTAAAAGTGTAAAGAAAAGTGACAAAATATTTGGAGAATAAAAAATGAAACATGCAAAATAGTAAAAATTGAAATAAATCGTAAACCATTTACATACCATCTTCTTTACACAAATCAACTGAAATATACCAGGGTCGTTTATCAATTTTTTTAATTCATAAAAGTCAACGCTGCTTAATTTCATAATTTCTTTTTTTTTTTTTTTGCTTTACATATATATTAAGTGAAGAAAAAAACAATTCTTAAATTTTAATAACTAAAAATTGTATTTAAAAAAAAAAGTAGTGAAAAAAGATATAAATGGAATATCAACTCTACATAGAGCTAATTATGAAATTATATTTTTTCTTTGGTATTTCTTTCATAATTTTGACGAGCGGTTCTTGACTCGAAAATTTTCTTGTAATTTAAGGCTCGTTTCTCATATATATATATATATATATATATATATATATATATATATATATATATAAATACACTCATACACACACACATACATTTACTTTATAAAAGGGTCTTGTCGTTAACGAAGCTAATAATTAATCTATAAATTTTCCCATCGGAGCATGCGCGCAAATCATAAATTCCCTTACAGGATAAGCCAATTTCCCGGGTGAAAGATTAAACACCTCCTTTGATATATGTTTTCGTTAATATTTCCACAAGTATTAATTAGTCCAAGTAATCAACTAATGAATTTATTTTCATTTATTTCTATAAATATTTCAATATAACGATTACGAGTTTGAAAAAAATCAATTTCCATTTTAATAAACAAAAAATTTTACAAAATAAACATCAATTTAAATTAAATTTTCTCAATAAATTCATTTTTAGAATTAATTAAATTAATTTTATTAATTAATTTATTAATTTAATACAAAAATTCACATTGATATAAAATAAAATGATTTTTAAAATGAGCTTAATGTGAATTAAAAAGTAAAAAAAAAAATAATAATAATCTTAGCAAACTTGATGTTAACTTTCTGCTGATGTTGAAGCAAAATTTTCACTCTCTAAAAACGAAGTTTTCTGACGATTTACGACTTAATCCAAAACAGCGAAACGCAAGGTCCAGCAAAGCCCTAAGTCCATAATTGAGAATTAATTTACGTCTAATAACATTACCCTCGCAAATTTCTCTACCCTTACATTCCACTTTTACGTTAAAAAAAAATTAGTCAAAGAACACTTCTCTTTTCTCTTTACAATAGCATTTAAATAAATTTTGGATTTTTTTCATTAATTAAATTTTTTTTCATTAGTTATAATTTATGAAATCAGTAAAAAAATAAATAATATTGAAAAGAATAAAAAAACCACGCTCACAGTGGGCGTTACTAACAATGTTCCCGCCCACAATAATTTTAGTTACGCCCACAATAGTTTATTTTATTTTCGACGTCAACTTAGGGCGTATCTTTGAAATTCTTCTATCTACTAATGGGCGTGGTAACACAGGAAACGTCTATTTAGGGCGTGCTTCAGATTTGTAGGCGTGAAAATCTAAATCACGCCCTAAATAGGCGGATCGTGTATTGTCCAAAGCTGCCTGTAGTCTGGATAATTACAAGATACGCCCATTAGTGGGCGTATCAATTACAGGTAAAAAATTTTATAAGCCACGCCCACAGTGGGCGTTACTAACAATGTTCCCGCCTACAATAATTTTAGTTACGCCCACTATAGTTTATTTTATTTACGACTTCAACTTAGGGCGTATCTTTGTAATTCTTCTACCTACTAATGGGCGTGGTAATACAGGAAACGTCTATTTAGGGCGTGGTTCAGATTTGTGGGCGTGAAAATCTAAATCACGCCCTAAATAGGCGGATCGTGTATTGTTCAAAGCTTCCTGTAGTCTGGATAATTACAAGATACGCCCCTTAGTGGGCGTATCAATTACAGGTAAAAAATTTATAAGCCACGCCCACAGTGGGCGTTACTAACAATGTTCCCGCCTACAATAATTTTAGTTACGCCCACTATAGTTTATTTTATTTACGACGTCAACTTAGGGCGTATCTTTGTAATTCTTCTACCTTCTAATGGGCGTGATAATACAGGAAACGTCTATTTAGAGCGTGGTTCAGATTTGTAGGCGTGAAAATCTAAATCACGCCCTAAATAGGCGGATCGTGTATTATTCAAAGCTGCCTGTAGTCTGGATAATTACAAGATACGCCCCTTAGTGGGCGTATCAATTACAGGTAAAAAATTTTATAAACCACGCCCACAGTGGACGTTACTATAAATTATTTACTTTCAATTGTGAGTAGGAATATTAAAAATATAAAAATTAAATATTTCTTTTTTAATGGAATAAACTAATAATAAAAAAAAGGAAAATAAAAAGCCCCCATTTTTTATTTTTGAGTTTATTTATAGATAAAATATAATTTTTCAATGCAAACAGAGATGGAGAGAAGCTATACAAATGCAATTGTAAAGCTCAGAGTGCAATTTAACAATGCTAATTAAATTAGCATTTATTACAATAACGAGCGTTAAACGTAAATTGAAAATATCGAGTCGGGTCGTTAAACTTGAATCGATTTGCCACGAAATCCGATACAAAATAATATTTTCCCCCCCAGTTATCATCCATAAAAGGGGACATTACGTAAACCATCTAAAATTATTGTAGTAATTTCAAATCTATGTTGCTTTTGTCATTAATTTACTAAAACAAATTTTATTTTTATTTTGAACACACTGTATGTGTTTATTTATACATTTTTTATATATATCAAAAATTTTGTGTTTATAATATAAATTTTTTTTTTTTTTTAAATTTTCTCTATCATTTTTTTAAAAAATATTTATTTAATGCGGGAAACATCAAAAACATTAACACTCGTCAAAATACAAGAAAAAGTGTGCAAAAAAACGTGCATCATTTATATATAAAAAAAAACGCTTGTCTTTGTACTAACATTTAAATAACAATCCAGAAAAAAAGAATAGAAAAATAAAAAATACTTACAAAAAAAAATTCTATTTTATGAAAATTTATGAATCTGGATATAAAAATTACAACTACTTATATATTTGTGATATTTTTTTTCCTATTATGTCAATATTATAAATTTTTGATGCAAGATGAATATATATATATTTTTTTATTTAAATTAATGATACGTTAAGTAAAGTGAAGAGAAAATTAAATTCTCAAAAAAAAAAGAAAAATTTCGTCATATTTTCTGTTAGATTATTATTATTCTATGAAATAGTACATACAAAGAGAATAATAATGCGTAAGGCTTTTAGGAAGTTTCTCTTTTGTATCCTCTCGCATTTATGTCTTGACGTGTACATCTTGTTAAATAGTCAGTCATCAGTGTCTAGTAAAAAAAAAAAGAAAAATTCTCCCAAGCGAAACTCATTTTCATTTCAGTGCACTTTTTACAATTATTCCCCTATTTTTTTACTGTTTTTTTTGACCTAGTAAATTTTAATGATTTCAATAATAAGCTACGAAAATAAAAAATAAAACACAATAAGTGCTTGAAAATGCAATATGTAGAGAAGAAATAATGAGTGATGTAAATTTTTTTTATTTATTCGATAATTAATAATTATTTTAATAATAGGAAACTTATTAGACGAAAAGCAAGTTTAAAATGCAATACAGAAACAATGATAAATGAAAAAAAATATTTATAAGCTAGGAAAAATATTTTTGCATTGATATAGATAATAATTTTTAAATATCTTTTGTTAGATTATTATTTTTACTATTATTACATTAAAAAAATAAATATGGAAAATTTTTTTTTGTCAAAAGACAGCCCCTCTGCCTAGAATAGATTTAATTTAAAAAAAGCTCTGTATGGGCTTAAATTACAGGAAATTTTGTCTATTTTTTGATGCCATATGGCACTTTTTAAATATTGAACATGGGGATATAAAAAATTACCAACACAGAAATCTACATTATCAACTGATGGTAAAACAGTAAAATGAAAATATTAAAAAATTATCGACACAGAAATCTACATTACTGACTGATGGCAAAAATTGGAAAATGAAAATATAAAAAATTGCCGACATAGAAATCTACTTTACCATCAGTCGGTAATGTAGATTTCTGTGTCGGTAATTTTTTTATATCGTTATTTTTTGTTTTTACCATCAGTTTGGTAATGTAGATTTCTATGTCGGTAATTTTTTATATCCCCATGTTTAATATTTACAAAAGGGCCATACGGCATCAAAAAATAGACTAAATTTGATGTAATTTAAGCCCATATAGAGGTTTTTTAAATTAAATCTATTCTGGACAGAGGTGTATTTTTGAAAAATCCCCATTTAAAAAAGGAATTTAAAATGAAATAGAAAAATATGAAAAAAAGGAGAAATTGAATGAGTATTTTGATCTGACAATGGAAATTCATCCACAGAAAATATAACAAAATTGTGTTTTATTTTTCTTTTTAAATTAAATATGTTTTTAAAGATTTTACAAAATAGGTTTATTTTCATCAAAAATTGATTAAAAAAAAAAAAATTAAAACATGGATAGGAAGGAAGAGGTTCCAACAATCTCATGACAATTTCTATAAATATAATAAAAACAACAATATTTTTTTTTGTCAATGAAACGTCTATATAGGAACATCCGAAGCAGCTAAATAAAAAAAAACAAAACACCGACAATCAGATGCAGCAGTGTTCTACTTCACAGAAGTTTTTTTTTTTTTTTTTTTAGAAAAAAAAATATTATTCATAAGCAGGCTCACCTTTCCCAATGGTGTTGATGGTTGCCCGGCTGGCGTTGGATCCTTTATGTAAATATTCCACGTAGCAACACTGTTGATGGCCTTATCTGCCGCGTAACACCTCCATAAACATTGTATTAACATTGCAGCCGCTGGAATTTGACGGTTAAAGTGTTTCTGCCTTTGCTTTTGTTGCACTTTCAATGCAAAACCCGAACCAAGAATACCCTGCACAAAATTATGAACTTTCTAATTTTAAGATTTCGTGTTTGGTTTTTTTCTTTTTTTTTTTTAGGCGTGCTAAAAACAATAGTTTTTATTTACCGACAGAGAAAACTGTCGATAATATAGAAATCTAATTAATTTTATGATTTTTGACATAAAAAAAATAGCTGTGGCATTTAGCCTAGTTTGTCACAATCAAAAATATTAAAAAATAAAAAATTTATGCATCAAATAATAACAAGAATTTAGGTAGAAACAAAATTAAATTTTGAGGTTATGTTAGAATTAGAGATAACTTACAGCTGGAAGTGCAAAAAATGAAATTGCAAAGACACTAAAGCACGAGGCGACAATTTTTCCCATCCATGTTTGTGGTACCGTGTCACCATAACCAATTGTCGTGACAGTGATCTGGAAAAATAATAATAAATAACTTACTTTTTTTTTAAATTATTATGTTGTGCGGTACCCTATAGAAACTATACTAATAGTTTAAGGGGTTGTTAATTGACTATATATTATAATAATAATTATAATAATAATAATAAGAGAGTAAAAGGTTTTGATAAGAGCTGTTGGAGTGAGAAATTTGGAGAAAATCGATAATATGCATAAAGTTATGGTGTAAATATATCAAAGCTCAGTCATAAGGAAAGTGAGGATGTTTAAGTGAATGATCAGTGTTCCTCTTCATTTTCGAAGTGAGGTACATAGTATAGGTATAAAGGTAATGATCGATTACTGTAACAGAGAACAAGAACAACTGGGCTGTAATTATCTCGATGAAATTGTTCGACGACGCTTCATTGTCATAATAATCAACGCCACCTATCTTACTATTAGAGCATAAAGGCCATTGCATTATATATCACTTGGAGCATATGTGTGTGTGCGAATCTGTGGAGAACTCTTGACGTTCAGACGTTGCTCAATGAAGAAAGAGAAGGAGACATAGAGAGAGAGAGAGAGAGAGAGAGAGAGAGAGAGAGAGAGAGAGAGAGAGAGAGAGAGAGAGAGAGAGAGAGAGAGAGAGAGAGAGAGAGAGAGAGAGAGAGAGAGAGAGAGAGAAGATTTATTGAGAATTCTCCTGTCCTACCCAAAGCATCATCCACCATAAATTAATTATTCACAATTCTCTCTCTCTATATATATATATAAATATGGATTCAGCTATTTATATTTTGGTTGCAATTGCACTAGTTTTGTATTTTTACTTGTCTTTGTTATTTTAAAATGTCACGGTTTATATATAGTTATTTATATAAAGAAATCAAGTCTGCTTTTGGGTATTGCTTTAATTACAGATCGTTCTATGATTTCGGATGAATAACGTTCTGGGTTGCCAGGTGTGTGGTTTTGGTAAAGTGTTGTGAATTGATATCAAACCATAATTATTGTCTGTAAGCTCACTCTAATACAGATTAACATGTACAGACGCTTCTTCAGTGTTGATGAGGGACATGACTAGAATGTAAACATGCATCTAATCCACGAGAGAGAGAGAGAGTTTGGGGAAAGCTGATTTTATTTGACCCTAACGATTTCAAAATCATTGTTGAGTTTTTAATCAAACCAACTTCTATTCCAAAGATTAAGAAAATATTTAATAAACCTTCGTTTTCTGATCATTTACAGATAATCTTCCAAGGTATTCATAAACCCAGAAAATTGACTACAGAGCAGAGGAAACACAAAGAAGTTAATCATTTGGTCAATTCTCCATTGAAGAAAACAACAATTGTAAGTTATTTCAATTATCTAATCAAACAATTACTGTAAATCAGTGTCCGTGTCCTTTAGAAGAAAGTTAGTAAAAATAACATATCGATAATTTTAGTTAGTTTATTTGTTAAATATAAATCTAATTATACAAAAAAAAAAAAAAAAATGAAACGTAGCAAAAACTCGTACAAGGTTAGTGACTACTGTCTGACTATATATGATTTATTATATAATGCTGATGAGATTCTATAACCAGAAGTAACTAAAAACAGTATGAAGCAATACATAAATTTTTCAATCCATAACTAATAGCAAACTAAAGATTTGACGAGTCTATGTCTGCTTTCTTGTAAAATGTTCAAGGAATCGTTTATAAATACTCACCTGACTCATTCAAATCTAAAGCAATAATTCTCACTGTTTATTCATGTTGGACTAAATGTACCTAATGTACTTTGTTTTTTTTTTTACTAAAATTCGAAATTTTTTTAAAAATATGTATAGAGAGAATATTTTTTTTTTATCAATAAACGCACTTTTCTATTAATTAATTCAATAACCCATTCAGTTTTTTTTGATGAAAATGGGTCAATCGAGGGATTCTAAATTGATTTGATCTCTATATATAGGTCAATTTTTCCTGCTAAAATCTGCATATCCGTAAATAAAGAAATCAAAAGTTCAGTTGCTTTGCTTTATGCGCTGAATGCATATTTTAATCGACAGTAACTTTCTCTAATTAGAGTCGCTGTTTCATAATAATAGAACAAAATTTTCACCGAACAATGCATTTCTGATAATAGTAATGAATATATATATATGTATACATTTTTGTAAAATATGAAAAGAAAATTTTTTTTTAAATTAAATTTTTTTAAGTATCAAATATGTAAAACTCTAATTAGTCTATGTAAAAGGGTATATAAAAGAGAGAAATAAACTAAAATATTTTACTAACTTTTTCCCTGCTAGATTAAAAATAACTGAGGGAAGTTTTATTTTTTTTTTTGTCTAAAATAAAAGAATGTGTATGTATGTTTATGATGGAATTAAAACTTACCACTCCCCACCAAAGTGCATCAGCGTAACTCGCGAAATCCGTTTTTTGCTCTCCATTTGGTCCAACCGCATCTTTTTCTGCCAAATATACAAAGTAACTGCTGAAAATGAGCCCCAAGAATCCTATGTACAAAGTCGTAATAAGTTCCTGTAAAAAGGAAAATATAATTTATAAATTGTGAAACATTTTTTTTATATCTGAGAATAAAGAAGAAAAAGTGAATGTAAATTCTTTTCAACAAATTATTATTATAATAGACTTCATAGAATAAAGGGAAATTAGAAGAAAAAAAAATTGAGGGAAATGAATTTTTGTATTAAGAAAATACCTGACGATGAATGAAGACAACGGAACCAAGAAGCCTCCAAGTGCCACCTTGTCGATCGACATGAAGCATTCGAAGAATTTGTAAAAATCTTATACCTCGAATGGCTGAAGTGGCGAAAACTTGTCCGTTGCTTCCTACTGATAGCACCACCATTGACGCTACCACCACAATTAAGTCTAAAATTTTAAGGTATAAATTTTTTAGTATATAAATTTTTTGTTTCGAATATTAATATTTTGTTAACAATAGTAATTTATATTTTTCTGTTTCAGATAATTCGTCAGTTTGTTAATATGGTCACAATGGCAAGAACCGTTTCTATAATGAGATGTTATTTTAATCAAAGAAGATATTAAGGGCTGTTGTTACCAAGCTAAAGAAAAAAAAATGTTTCATGCTATGATGATGAATAATTATTATTACCGAAAATATAATCCAATTAGCAAAATATAATTTCTAGTGAGATTGTATTAAAACCAAAAAAGAAGATATTAGGGACTGTGGTCACTATGAAGAAGAAAAAAAAGTGTTTCATACTAGATGATGAATAATTATTATTTAAGTTAAAATTTTTCAAAAAATATCATTCAACAGTTAGAAAAAGTAAAAAAGAAAAATATAACGCTAAAAATTGTTTCTTTTTATGATTAAGAATAATTTCAATGAAAAAGTAAAGTTTTTTTTTTAAATCAAATTTTCGTTTATTACAAAAATTAAAGTAAAAAAATAACATTTTCATTTGAAACAATTTGTATTTTATCTAACTAATATTACATAAATTAGAAACAGTATTAGAAGTCAATATTTTTTTGCTCCATCAATAAAACTTCGAATGATATTAAATTGAGAATATATACATATAAAAAGGGGTAATTTTCATTGATACGTATTTAAAGTTTCGTTGAAGACACTAAAGTGTCGATCGTAAAAGTAGAAAAATAAATGTCGAACGGTATACACTCGTATCGTTTTTTATCGTTAAATAAATATTAAGTTGCTTGCAGCACGAGTGTTTTATATAATAGTAGGATTTGTCGTTACGGGTCATAACAATAAAAGCGAAGTCTTCGATTTTCTGTCTAGAAGGGACGAATTTTTTTTTTTTTATTTTGGAAAAAGAGCAGTGTATGCAAAAAAAAAAAAAAAAAGACTCGGAAATGTAGTGAAATATCCTGTTCCATTGGGAATCTTCACCAGGGGGAAAAGTAGTTCCGTTTCAGAGACAGTTTTACACTGCCCATGAGTTTTCTCTCGCCTTCGGAAAACTAAAGATAAGCATCTCATAAAATCCCTTGTGAAATCAAATCCTTACAGAAAAGCGTTTTACTGTATTTCGATATCCCTCGCTACCTCATTCGTGCTATGTCGATATATGTGTGTGTGTTTTTAAAAAACGACTTCTCTCGATAGAAATAATTTTTCTTCTCCTCTGTTGTTTGAACAATAAATTATATCGTGTATATACGCTTCACAAAATACTAATTTAATTATTTTCCACAAAATAAATAAAGTTATATATTATTTCAAGTGAAATAGTTAATTATTGGAATATGTATTAAAAATGACTTTTAATAAATTAGACGAATAAATCTTTTGTGTGCTGTTTTGTTATTGATTTTTTTAAAAAAAAAAGAACTTTCAAAAACTAATTAGTTGGCAATTATATAGATACACTTTGAAATTCGTTAATATTTCATAAATTCATCGTATATCATATTCGACGCGATGAAAAGCTTTAATGAATGTTTCAAATTTATGCTGGAATTTTTGTATGTTAAAGTAATATAACATTAATATAGCTCAAATAGAAAATTATGTAAATGAAAGATATTTTAGCTACTGAATAATTTAGTATCCTTTTTTTTTTTTGAATAACTTTATTTATTATTATGTACGTTAGGATATCACTCACCTATAATACATATCGGTTTTCTTATAAACCTCAGTCGCCCGCAGCATCCCATATACTTCGATCGGCAACCTGCGCTCCATAGTCGTACCAAATACTCGACACCAAAAAATACCACTAAACATATTTCCTGAAATAAAAAGATTTTTTTTATATTCTGGTGTGTTAAAATAAAATTAATTTAATGTTAGTTTGGTAATAAGTAACTTTCCATAAAAAAATAAATATATTTAGCACTCAAGTTTCCAATCTATTTATAGGTCGGTAAAACAGATTGCATTTAAGGCGGTAAATTTAAATGTAAATTCTTTTTTTTTTTAATTTAGAATAACACGAAAAAGTAAAGTTCATTTTCTTTTAAGTAATGAGAAAAAAAGTAATTTTGAAAATAATAGACATTATTTTTATAATTTGAATTTTACATATATACATCTTTCAGGTTGTATGATGTGTTAAAATTAAGTCAATGACGAATTTTCACACACACGTAAAGAAAAGAGAAAAAAAAGTTTTCTCATAAAAACTTGAGAATTGCCGAGTGTTATAAATCGCGTGTTCTGTGAATCGCGTGTAGTCGCGTAAAATAGTTTTACTTGTTTCACACGGATTTTTTTTGTCAGATGAATTTAATTTGTGCGACCTGCCTGACTAAAGCCTGTTGATGAAATTTTCCCAATGTAATAAAAAAGAGTTTATTAAACGTTAAAGTCGTCGACACAAAGTGACAGTAATGGACAATAAAAGTTGAAGTTTATTTAACTTAACTGACGCCATTATATATATATATAAAGCCCATGCATATGAACATAAAATTATGTTTGCCCTAGAATGTTACTATTATAACTGAGATTTAGATTTGTGTTTAATTATTATTTGCAATTGTATCATTATTTTCTTTAAATTTGCAAATTAATTACAAAAAAAAAAAAACTATAAAAAATTGTTGTTACAATTTTTAACAATTTTACTGAAGTTAATTGTTTGCAAATTCATCAGTTTATTTATTTATTAAAAATGGAAACATTATTTTTCGGCATCTAAAATTAAAACACATTTAACTATAAATTTTTAATTTCGTCGAAATTGAGGGTTTCGTGATTTTTTAAATATATATATTCAGCTTCAAAATATCGTGTATACTAACGATGTGCCATTAAATTTATAATAGTTTCATTAGCGATTCTATTATTAAATCTAGTTCACAATTATTATAGTTTATTGAATATTCGTATAAAAATATTTTTACTAATCATATTATTAGTTTCCGGTCATATAGCCACATTCAATTGTCTTTGATTAAAAATTTTTTATTTGACATAATTTTTATTCCAAAAAAAGAATTTTAATTATAAATATTTTATTTTTTTTATTTGTCATTTTTTAAAATAATAATTTTATTTATTTAAATAAATTGAATTTTTATTTTATGAATTTAAATTTCCCGCCTAAAATACGCTGTCTGTTTTATCGACCTTAACTAATGGAGACGACAGTTAGGAAACTCACTATATAAATTAGGTGAAGAAAAGTAAGAAAAATTATTATTAGCCTTGAAAATGAAAACTGAATAAATATTCATAACCGTTTTGGCAAATATTTCTCGTCTTTAGAAAAAAAGGAACAATAAAAATTATTTTTATAAAAATTGTTATATAGAATTAAAAAAATACATCGATTATAAAAAAGTGCCTTCTTTATTAGAACGGTAGTCAATTATTCGCAACATTAATTTGCAAAGTCACGAAGTAATTTTTCTCAAGGCCTGGAAAATTATGTTGTCATGTTATAAATGCGACTGCACAAATGATTTTATCCAAGTGAAGAAATTGATCGTTCTGGTGTTTGACAGCCGACAATTAATCTTCCTCTTATTATGAAAGTTGACTCTATTTCCTTCTACCAGTCTCTTGACTATAATAGAGACCACATCATCGGTATTTCTTACACCCGGAAGTCCCACCCTCTCCCCCATCTCATTCCTACTCTTTCTCTCTCTCTCTTTCTCAATCAATAACACAAATACAAACCATTTAAGAACACTGGAAAAGATGGGGTTGGTTCTTAAATCTTTACTTAATATTTCAGTTCAAGACTTGTTTCATTTTACAGATGATTGGAGAATTTATGGGAAATAGAGAAAATAAAAAATTGTTGTAGAGAAAGATATCATATTCCTGGAGGAAAAAAAAAAAGAAAAATGTTGAATTGACAAAAGCCCTTTTGAATAACGGAAATTTTATATAACCTAAAATTGATTAAACTTCATGTCAGAAAAAGCGAGATTTAAAAACTTCTTTTTATAACGGGTTTTCATATTTGATATTGTTATATGGAAACAAAAAAAAAGAAAGGGAAAAGTTTTAAGAATTTTTTTTTTGTGAAAGTTTCTTCTTTTTTTGAAAAAATAATGAATTGATCGATGAAGTAGATATGCTCATTATTATTAATATAAAAGAGAACCTTTATCAAGCTACAAAACTTTTTACTAATTTTAATCTATACTTGTAGAAAAAAAATGGAAAATTAGAATAGCACTCTTTGAGAAAAGTAAGTATTGAAAAATAAGTAGCAAAGTTTTAGGAGAAAAATATTTTAATTTAGTTTGTTATGGGATAATTATTATTCATCATTAATATAAAAAACACCCTTTTTTTGTGTTCTAATTTTTTTTTTCTGCAAAATCAGGATCATTTTTTTTAAAGGAAATTTTCCTTTTTTAGATTGCGGGTCGTCAGGACATTCTGACGTCAGGAGTTGTTAACCACTTCTCGGGGGATTTTTTTTATAAATATAGTATCAGGAAGACAACTTGAATAGGAAATGGTAATGTATTTAAGGATCGCGTGCAAGTGAACTTAAGAAAAATTGTCTGCTCATTATGCTAAGAGGAGAAAAGGGAAGAAGTTGGGACATGAAAGTAGGTGGATGGAGCAGAAAGAAGGAAAGTGAATGAGAGAGAGAAAGAAGGAAGGAGAGATATACCAGTCGTTTTGAAGGGCCATTAAGTTCTAAGCTTCTCGACAGTAGAATCGACCTTTGCGACATTAGAAGCCACCCTCCCTCAAGTTTCATGCTCCATTACGGAAAGCTTACGATGGTTAAAGCATGTCTTGCTAAGTGTCAGCATATGTTGCATACGAGTTCACCCCTAACAGTAAAACAAATATGGTGACTGAAAGAAATACTAATTCCATACACCACAATCCTTCAATTACTAATCTTATACAACATCTCTTATCTCTTATTCCATATTATTGTATATTTATTTTTTTATATATCCTAAAAATTTAGGATTCAATTATTATTATTCATCATTAATATAAAACAAACCTTTTTTCCATATAAAACCTTTCTATTCTCATATAATAACAATAAATGCTTGTAATGCTTTTCAAGAATACACTTGAGAAAAACGATATTAGAAAGATAAGGAGGTATATAGAAGAGAAAATTGAAAAAAAATAATCTTTTTGATGAACGAGGAAATTAGGGGGAGTTTGTTTTTCCCGGGCATAAAGTTGGTGGATATAAAAAACAAAAAAAAAACTTGTATGGAAAATAAATTACTTTTGTTGAAGGTTAATTTGAGATCCATTTTCAAAATGATTAAACTTGTTTACCAAAAGGGATGGAAGTTGTTAATAGAAAGGTATTTCTTTTCTCAAGTGGTTGCATCACGGAAGCCATTAATTCGTTTTCTCCATTTCTTCTTCTTCTTCTTCTCAATTACAAATAGCGCGCGATAGGGAACATACTTAGCGTTGCCAAGTTAAAATTAATCTCGTCTGACGCGAGGGCGGAACATTTCCGCGATGTACGAGTCTCGATGCAGGTCGAGATTACGAGACCAATAAGATGCCACGAATCTGCTGTAAACTACTACCTTGAAAGTGAGGGAATAAAGAATCAAGAAAAAGCGACAGAGAAGAAAGACTTGATTAATTAGTGACCTGTATCTATCTTCGTTGTCAAAAAAAAAAAAAAAAAAAAAACTGACCTCATTACTTCCATTTTATATTCATCGTCTCGAAGGATTTTAGATTTTTTTTTCATTCATCGGCAAAATAGATTGTCTCAATTTTATTCTAGCAAAGAAAAATTTAAATTCGTGTTTGCAGCGTGAAATTGAAAAAGATTATTTTATCATTACCGAATGTTTGGTAGGGCGTGAAAAAAAAAGCTAAATGGAAAGGCTGACATTTGATAGGCGAATGCGAAAATAAACAGTGACCTCTGTCGTAAAACGTCGCTTGAAAGCGTTCATCGATATTTGAAAGTTGAGATAGTAGAGAGAGCAAGATACCTAGTGATAAGGAATTTATATGCCCGCAGATACGTAAATTTCCGTCTCACCTTTCATAAATTATTTTCTGACACTCACTCAAAAGCATGATCATCACTAACGAAAATTTATCAAATATTGATTTTAGAGAGGCACCCGCAAAAAGTAAACTAAAGAAAATAGAAGTTCAGTTTTAAATTGCAATTGTTGCGAGGCAAAAAAAAAGACACTCACCATCCAAAACAAGGTTTCGTTTGCGAAATTACTGTACTGCTCTATTGTTGAGAGAACGCTGAAAATGAGGCACACCAATACCACCATGAACCTGAAAAAAAATAAAGCACAAACAGTAGGTGCAATTAGAGTTGTAGCCAAAAAAAAAAAAAAAGTAAAGTGATCGTATATAGTGGCACTTTGGGAAATTTGTTCTAGAAATTTTCTCAAGTGAAAATAGTCCTTCTCAAAAATTTAAAAATATTTTTCTTTTTTTTTTGCAGATTCTTTCCATCAGTAATGGAGGGATTTTTTTTCATGTCTCATAAATATATCCCCCCTGAAGTCCTCTATATAGATGAATAAGTAAACGGGAGTTGGAGGAGCATCCGCTATATCTATTATCCAACGCGACATAATACCGCAGGCGGTAACTATTCTAAGCTCGGAAGCAGAGATTACACATTGAAGTCAGCCTGCTATCTTCAATAGCGCCGGAAGTGTTAGAGTTTAACGTCAACACTTTTATCTCATTCATTTACACGCTTGTAAACTAGAGTTAAATTTCAATTCATAGCGCGGAGTATTTAGTTTTATATATCATTTTTCCAAGGTGGGAAATTTTTTTTTTGGAAAATACCTTCTAATGTGAAATTAGTGTTATTGTGGAAGGAGGAAAAAAAATGTTTTATGCTATGATGATGAATAATTATTACATATATAAAAAAAAATTTTAATTTTTTTTTTACTTATAGAATATTTTTTTAATTATTAAAGAAATTCTTATGAAGCACGTTTTGATGATTTAATGGGTTTGGGTTTTGTTGGGTATTAGAGGTCCTAATATAGCAACATGAGTGGGTCTTAAGTTTTGGAAATGATCCTATTATTGACCGCAATTTATTTCGAATAAAATTGTGCGTAAGGGTCGAATTTCGATTTCATATTCCAAACACGAAAGTTTGACGTGAGTAATTGTACTAATGGAACTTCTCCATTCACTAAATTTAAAAATAGTATCAATTGTTTAATAAATATTATAAAAATTAACAAGGGGAAATAAATTTTCATTCATAAAATTTTAGTAATAAATATATAATTCAAAATAGTAATATAAAAAATTTTATTTTAATTTTTTTTTCTTTCGAAGTTTAGATAAATTAAATTACCCCCTAAAATCTCAATTATTCTGCTATATATCTCTCAAACTCTTAATACGGCATTTGCAAACTCTCAGGTTTTCATTTTATTCGCATTTTCACAACCCGCTGGCAAATTTCTCTGCTCATGGAACTGAATGCACCGACCTTTCTTTAATAAAAAAAAAAAAAAAAAAACGTTTTTCTACAACTCCGACAGCTTTTTTTTTCGTCCAACAAGATAAAAAAATACGATTACCTGTTCTATAGTCGTTTTAGAAGAAGTTAGGAGAAAAAAAGAATTCGATTGACCAATTACTTCTATTCTATATTTTTAAAAGTTTATTCAATTCAATTGTGCAATGATTGTTAAATTTCATCGAAATTGCAAAGGCAAAAAAGAACATTTATGTTTGTTTTTTTACGATTTACAAAAGAGAATTATTGTTGGAAAATTTTCTCTAAAATTGTTTTATAGAATTTTGTATATTAAATTTAGAAAATTTTTTTCCAACAAATCGTTTTTATTATTAAAAATTACTGTTAATTGAAATATATATTTCAAAAGTGAAGAGAACTTTCCATAAACCATATAACCTAAAACTAAGATGTTTCTTGCTGCAATGAAATCCGTATCTAAACATATTTGCATGAATGCACACTGAAGCTAAATTCTCTGTTCCGAGGTATGCGGTCTTTCAGTATCAAAGGCTCATGCAATAGTGAATAATGAGCACATAGCTCAATATGTTCGCTCGAAAAGCGCTTTATTTCGTTCAGTTAACTCAAATTAATCATCCGTTGGTTTCATGACCAACGTTGGTGACAAACGTTGATCAAACCAACAACGCAACAATTTTGATGATATAAACACAAATTTTCCAAATTCCTCGCTAAATATTAATAACGAAAGGATTTTGTGATAATAAGCTTTCGGTTTTTTCCTTTTTAGAAAAGGTCATTGCGCAATCGTGAAATTAACAAAGTCACTTAGGATTTGCTACCTCTTTTTAGAAACTATAATGATGGCGTGTTGGAAGACTATAATTTTCATCCAAGGAACCACAACTTGGGTCACCTTCATCGACCTACTAAATGGATAATTGTCTTCATTCTTCTATAAACTTACTTCATTTTCGGTTGGTACAATCTTTGATACGAAATGATAATATACTTAACTGATGCTCCGAAAAAAAGGATCAAAAATCTTTACACGCCCTAAAAAGAGTCGTCTATATATCTAGCTTCTCAAAATACCTCAATTTACATTTGTAATGTGAAATTTTGTTTTGCCCAACAAAAAAAGTGAATTTTCTTTGAAAATATATTTCCAATATGATTATAGAAATCAATTCTTCTTTTTCTGATTGAATGGTTATTTTATTATTATTATTATTATTTTGTAATCGTGTCAAGTCGTGTATGAAATTTGACAATTGAAGTAGAATATATATACCCATTCGCAAAACATATTCTATTTCCTGTTATCCTTGAGGTATTTCGCCCTCAGTGAAATTCTAAACCCTCCTCTCGAAACATTGCGGTTTGTAACAAGCGGAATTGTTTTTTTCTACACAAAAAAAAAAATTTCCCTCTCGTTTTTCTATCCACAAAATGGAAATTGCACAAGAACCTCAGGGCTAATTTCCGAAATTTCCGCGCCAGCAAAAACATTTATATTGTCAATATAATAATTTCATAAAATGGATTTTCAAAAAAAAAAAAAAAAAAAAAAGCTTTGCATACTTTAGTAGTTGAAATTTTTTTTTTGTTTTCAATACAAAAAAATAAATCAAACAAAAAAAATATTAATGGTAAAAATGTCATGAAAAAAAAAAATTGTAACAAAAAGTATAAAATGCTTTTGAATTTAATGAATAAAGTTATTATCGTAAATTATAAAGTATATTTTACGATTATTTGCAAGAGTATATGAATATTATGCGCTGTAAAAAATTCTACAGTATTTTATGTATTATATAAACAGTAATATGAGGTTTAATTTTATCATTATTATTCACACATGAGTGAAGAGTATGTAATATACGTGACTAATAATAATAATAATAATAATCATTGACATTGTCCCGCGGGGAGTATTTTCCTAACTGTTCTCTAATTCTATATTCACTGATAATTAATCAATGTGAAATAATATATTGCACCTGGTCATTTCAAAATGTTTTGCATTTATAGTTAAATTTCTGATCAATTTATCTTTGTTCAAATATAAATTTTTGGTTTATTGTGAAGTGAAAAAAAAAATGTTTCATACTGGATTGATGAATAATTTTGAAAGAAAAGGTTTTTTATACTGGGTTGATGAATAATTTTTTAAAAAAAAGGTTTTCATACTAGGTTAATGAATAATTTAAAAAAAAAGCAAAATAATGTTTTGTAAAAATATTTCGAGAAAATGAAAATAAGTTTTTTTTCAATTTAAAATAAAGTCAAACTCTTAAATGCGATTTTGCATATTTTATTTTATCACGAAAACCAATATCCTGAGGGTTTACCACAAAATCCGTTAGACATTCACTCGTTCGGGCATCCAAATCACGAAATTCACTCGTTTTCAATACGTACTAGTAATACCCCATGGCAAATATTGAAGAAGACAAGGTGACAATACAGAATATTATAAACATGACAACAATGATGATATTGAAGATAAAGTGTCTATTATTAGACCAGAAAAAAACTATTGTTTTCAGTAAAATATTATTATTATTATTATTATTATTATTATTTTATAAAAAAAATATATATTCTAAATTTAAAAAAAAATTTTTAATAAATTATATATTATATAAATAAAATATAAAAATATGTTTTACACATTATTTTTGAAATAAGCATTATTGTTATTGACATTTAGAACTTGATTTATTTGATTAAAATTTCACCATTAGAAACTTGTTGACTGTGAATTCAACATTTAATTCTCATTCCACAAAAATTTCTTGAGATCAATTCATCATATATATATATATATATATATATATATTTCAATATCACGAGAACAAATATTCATTTTAATAAATTCTCCCCAAAAAATTGTTCCAATTAATGAAAACGAAGTCAAAAAATGCAAAAAAAAATAAATAGAAAAAAAGTTTCATATGTGTGGTTGAAATTATTCTACATATCTTCTGTCAGTAGTACAAAATATGTGAAAAGCAACATAAAAAAAAAATTCAAAATAAAATTTATTGATGTTAAAACTTTTGTGTTTTTTTAAAAAACGATTCAATATTTAAAAAAACATACATTTTTACACTACACTTTTTAAAAAATATTTACAATTAATTTTTTAAAAATTTTCAAAAAAGTAAATCAACAATAAATATATTTTCAATGATATGATAAAATAAAAATAAAATAGACAAAAATTTTTCATACTAGATGATGAATAATTACTATTTAAAAAAATATGATCCTATGAAATGTGTTAAAATTTTTTAATAAAAGAGTAGCAATAAAAAAAATTTCTATAAATAATTTTCCCCGTGTAAAATAAGAATAAAATAATGAAAAATGAATATCTTTTTTTTGTAATTTTTTTATTTTTTTTTTGCCTTCTATTTATGAAATGAAAGCATTCTTTATGAAGAAAAATGACTGTCGAGGATAAGAAACAATGAATAATAAACAAAAAGTGAGACGAGGGGTGTAAAGAATATATTTATATATATATAGAGATTTCAAGTTAATTCTCTGTATATAAAAAGAGTGAATGTTACCCGGCAAAATTAAATGTGACGCTTTGTTAATTAATGCTTTTATCCAAAGCTTTACATTTAAAGTAATTAACGTTCAAAGCTTTCACGTCAAAAGATCTAACCCCATGGTGCTATTATTTGTCTACCGGCTCCTTTTTGCACAACCTCTAATGAGGTTAAGATAATTAAACCCACCAATGTTGAAATATAAGTCCAGTGTATATATATAAATTTTTTTTTCTTTCTATTAATTATATTTATATAATTTACACGCGTAAATAATTAATTTTTTAAAATAATAATTATAATTTCATTATTTTAAAGAATATTTTTACTAAAAAAAGTTATTTCAATCATTTTTCTCATAGAAAATAAAAAAAAACGAAAATGTTTTCGCAGTGAATATATATATATATATATATATATATATATGATAAATGTCAATGAATAAGACACTTGAATGATATGAATGCAAAAAGTGTAAATACATATATATATAAAAGAGTGAAATGTGTATACAAGAGCGTCGATTTATCGATACCTGTCTATCAGATTATATGCTCGCCCCCCATAGATGTCGTCAAATTTCTTTTCGAAAAATCCCACACATTCATCTATTATATAAATGCATGCATTTTTTTTTTGCAACAAATATTCCGACATTCACGAGAATGCTTTTGAATTTTCATATAGAAAAATTGAATTGCAATGACAAATTCTATTTCGTGTTAGAATTTTCAGGATTTATTGAAAAAAAAACGAATCACTACATTTTCTATAAAATCGTACTTCATTTTATCAACATTTTCGAATTAAATGTTTTTTTTAAATTATAATTTATTTTATTTAAAAATTAATATTTACATTAAATTTACTATTAATTTTTTAATAATGAAAATAATTTTCCCTTTGTTTTAATACTACTTTTTGTCAGCTTATATTTTCATTAACTATTCATCTTCATAATATAAAATTAATTTCTCTTTATGTCAAATGAAATTAATTTTATTTTCAATATTATTCATCATCATAGCATGAAACATTTTTTTCCTTATGTTAAAAAAAGAAATTTAAAATAATATAAAAAAAATTTTTAATGTTTATTCGGTACAAGTAGATCGACGACTGATGACATTCTGATTAACTAATTTTTAAAAAAATAAATAGAATAAAAAAATTATTTAAAAAATTTTGAAATCAAAACCAATGTTAAAGTTTATGTATTTGTTTATCAATTTAATTTAAAAGGGAAATTTTTTTTTAGAATAACTGGACCGTGGAAAAGGGATGTGGCAATATACTCAAACTTTCATTTATGTGGGAGTTTGATTTCCGGTAGTGTCTGTTCAAAAATATATAACGTTTTTTTTGAAGCCTTATTGTGAAAAAAGAATGCTCGACGATGTGACCTATCGTTGAATTGCATCACATACAAAAAACACGTTTTTCGTTTAAAAAATCTCTATCTGGTTATTAATTTAATAAAAGTGAAATAAATTTTGAAGCAAATCATCTCCGATTAATAAATTAATTTTTCGAGAATTTTCAAAACAATCATAAAATCAAATCAATAAATAGAAATAAAATACTAAAAAAAATTCATCTAAAATACAAAAACTAAATTGCAGTTTAAATAAAAAGCAATTTTAAATTTGAAAAATGCAAATACACTAGAACGTCAATCGAGAACACGTCAGTCGAGAACAGAGCAAGGGAACACTTGAAGGGAAGTGGAGAAGCGGGTAGAATTTAGGTTATGACTGACGCCAAAGTCGTACTTGTGATTTTTAAATTTAAGGTGGATTCAGTGCCCCACTAGTGAAAATCCCCTAGATAGAATTCACATTGTTGCGTAAGGCCCTTCATACGGCCCTGAGTGTTTTTATTTTCGAGCGATAAAAATCGCGTCAATCGAGAACAGCACTGCACATTCGTCTGTTCTCGATTGACGTTTTAGTGTAGATAGTAAAAATAGGAGACACATGAAAATAAAAAAAGCGATTGAAAGGAAAAAAAAATAAAGTTTAAATATAGAATTTCATAAAAGCTATTTTTAAAACTTTGCATAAAAAAGTCAACGAGCTACAGTGAATAGGTTTATGCAAAGTAATAACTTTTCATTTACATTGAAAACATGTAATTTTTCAAATACAATATATATATATATATATATATTATGTCCATGGCCTTGATAATTTATACTTTTCTCCATATCAAATAGGAGAAAAACGATTACACTCTCTGACGGATTTAACGATTTATACTCTTTACGAGGATTTATTTGATTTCAAACCTGTTTGATTCGAGCAAATATTGACAAACACAAATATTTATATATTAAATCCCAAGCAAGTTTTACTGGCAAAAAACAAATCATGATTAAATAATTGTAAATTTTTATGTAATAGAAATTTTAAATTAGATTACAAAAAATGTTTATTAAATATATTTTAATATTTTAACTAAAAAAAAAAGATATTTAATATATTTTTAAATAAATAATTTATTTACACTTTCTACCGTAAGCAGACATATTTTCTGGATTACTAATTCTAATTAGTAGTAATGATTTCGATTGAGTCTGACTCGAGAATGAGCGCTCGTAGCTAGTGCGAGCTTCTTTTATACGTCAGTCTGTAGATCGCGCGGGAGTAGGGAGGGGATGCGCCTGCGCACATTTCGTTAGGGACGTTAGTAGCGCGTGGGGGTTCTTTCTTCATCGTCCGTGCCCTGGACAATTTATATTATAACGGACGTTGAAGAAAGCTTTGCGGATTTTTATAAACGATAAATGGTAACTTGTTAAGAATTTCAAAAAGAAAAAAAAATGAAAACAAATGTTATACTCACACAGTGAAGTGATAGATGAAGCACAGCCAACCACCCGGATGTTCGAGAAAAACATAAAGCCTTTCCTGGAAGGTTTTCCCTTTTTTATGATGGAACACATATTTGGCCTTGAATGCCTGATCGATGGGAAGATAAATTGGATAATAGGGATCGGGAACGCCAACCTGATCCGGACTCGGTGGCTCTTCCTCCTGTCCATTGTCATTGTTGTCGTCCTTATTTCGTCGTCGACGATGCTTTCGCCTCATTGGTGTTGGGACACGTTTATGATGAGTCTCGCTAAAACGCGGCGAACGAAATCTACGCAGGAAAGTGAACTTCCGCGGGGGTTCATCCATTGGCGTTCCATTATCGGTATCCTCAGTTTCACTACCGGGTGTTTTCAGTGCCACATCCTCTGATTCGCCAGCGACGAGCTCGTCTTCGCTGCCTTGTAGGGCAGCGTAGGCGGCCGCGGCGCTGTATCGCTTTTCTGTCAGCCTAGAGCATTGGTCCTTGCTTTGTGGAAGACTGTCGTTGTACGCGCGACCTGGTAATTTCCAGGATTCGAAAAATGGAGAATTTATGTTTTTTTGTTTGGGAGATTTTAAAAAAATAATAATTTTTTTTCACGTTTAATAGTATGCAGAGAAAAGTGTGTGTGAAGTGACGTTGAAAAATAGTGACAGAAGAAGAAGCAAAAGATTTTGTAAACTGAAATGAGACAACACAAAATGAAATTTTTAATCGTAAATCTTAAGCTTTTACATGAGAGAGAAAAGGACAAAAGATATTTCTATCCTTTTCTCTCTCATGTAAAAGCTTAAGATTTACGATTAGAGATTTTATTCTGCTTAGGCCTAATTTAGGAATACATAAGTAGAAGGAAGTTGGGTGGGAAGAAGTACAAATAATACATTCTAATTACATAAATACTGTCCTTCAGGTTTGACGACATTTTTGAAAAGTTGTGACACATCTATAATAATTTTATTAGTTTGTGGCGAATGGCCATTTGTCATAATTCTCATCAACTACCGCACCCTGCTCTAGTGAAATTTTTTATAATTGTGAAAATTTAGTGATTTTGTAGTAACTTTTGATTTTAATTGTAAAGTTACTAAATTTTCACTAGAACAGGGTGAGGTAGTTGACGAAAATTATGACGAGTGGCGACAGTGATAACTTTCCATTCGTCACAAACTAATAAAATTATTATAGAAGTGTCACGACTTTTGAAAATGTCGTCAAGCCGAAAGTCTTTCCAAGTCGGAAAGAACTTTTGAAAATGTATCCTAATAAAAGAAAATAATAATAAAATTGTGTCTTTATAATTGTTTCCAAAAGCGTGAAATTTACAAGCGTTTACATTTTTTGCGTGATAGTGTTTTTTTTACACTCAAAATCGTCTTATCAAAAAAAAAATTGAAGTAAAAACACTCAGAGAAAATTAATTTAAATTAATATTTTAGAAATATATTTTCTGAGAAGACGATTTTTTGTTTTTAGATAAAAGCAAAGACCAATGCTGAAATTCTAACTAGGCAACTGACATTTAAATCTTTCTTTCTTTTTAAATGATTCTTTCTTCTCGTGGAATTGTTGAAAATTATTTTCATGCGCTCTTTTATAAAATTTCTTTTTTAATTACCTTATTTTAAAATATTAAATTGAAATAAGAGAATAAAATTTAAATTATTCTTTCTTGGACGGTAAACATATGTTTTTTTTGGAATTGTCAATTTTTATAATTAAAGTAAAAATTTAATTTATGTTATTGGATATAAAAGTGGTGTACGAATTTCAACTTAATTATAAAATGCATTACGTTATTAATCTTTTAATATTTCAAGAGTTGAAATAACGTTGTAAGTCCACTAAGTAAGTGGAGTTTCAGTTTATTTTAGAGAAAGAGAAAACAATAATAGGAAGAGAAATGAATATATAAAAGTTAAAACATTATGAATTTTAAAAGAGACTAATAGAAATATTTCTTAGAATTTAATTTACTTTTCCATTTTTGTATTCTTTTCAATATTATTTTTACTATTATTTATTATGTTTTAGAAAAATTAAACATTTATTACTTAATCGATATACATACTAATCAACCGGTTAATAAATGAATTTCAAAAAATTAACTAATAAATATTAAATTACTAATTACTTAAAAAAAAATTTAATCAACCGCATATAATTGGTAATTTAATAAATAAATAAGTATAATTATATATTTTTTTCATACGCTTATTATGTTAAAAAGTAAGTAAATTAACTTAAAATTTAATTCAAATGTTTTTAAGAAATATCGTTTTAATTTAAACGATAAGCCATAATTCCTTTAACGAACCTCTTCATGCTTGAAGAGTTTTCAGACCACACGCACAAGAGAAGAGCAATTCTTCTAAAGGGGATTCTCTAGAGATTATTATGAACCTTGTTAATATGATCATAAATGTTGGATTATTATAGATTTCAGTCTCATATTCAACCGTTTATAACCACATTCAATTTTTTCTTTAATTTTAATAAATATCAAAATTTAAACGATTTCTATTTAAAAATTCGAATTCTAATTTTAAAATTAAAAAAAATTAAGACAAGAATTTAATTAATTATTATTAAAATCATTTTAAATTCCTCCGAATATATTATTATTATTAAACGAAATAAGCTCTTAATAAATAAATTAATAAAATTGAAAAAAATCTTATTAAAGTAACAGTAGTGATAAAATAAATACAAATATTAAATAAGCTGTCACTTTGCCAAACCCCATGATGAGATTTATGATGCATGGATCTAGCCCAACCCTCGCTATAAATTTTCATAACTTTTTTCCCCCCTTAGGGTTAAAAAAATCATGTTTTTTATTTATCGATTACGCTCACCATATTATATAGAGGATTTTTAAATTTATGATTTCTATTATAATATACTGTACACAAAGTTTTCAGATTTATTTAAAAAAAAAAAAAATTTTTGTATTTATCCTGTTTCTATTCTTTCATATAAAATTTTCAATTTTTGTCTTTTCAATTTTCTATAATAACTATTAAGCCCTAAGCACAACTGTATGAGATAGAAAAGAACAAAAGTATATCTCTATCCTATTCCATTGCAAACTTTTTGTGCTTAGAAGCTTTAACTGCCAAGCCGCATATTTTTGAGGTTAGTTTGCTACTTGATCAGCAGGCAGGGTTGGGTTACTTCATTGAAAATTTTTCTATATGTTTCTAATTCGTAATATTTCCGGAAAGAACTAATCGAAGAAGGAATTATTTCCTAATTAATTTTTCTAATTGCATGTCGTTTAGTAATTAATAAAATTGATTCTATATTTAATTTCCATTGTGAATGAAAGAGAGAGAGAGAGAAAGAGAGGTTATGAAATTCTTTTGTACTGAAAACCAAGAAGATAGTTGACGCTTTATGTCGACAATTGCTTCATGAGTATATTAAACTTCACAACAAACAGTCTACTTGAAAGTGCGACCAACTTTGTCTAACTTTTCATTGTCTAGACAAGTTTTAATGTTATTGGTGAACTGTGACTCATCCTCTTTTGAGAACTTGAGCTTCACCGACAATTTCTAGTAATCGAACGTTTTATTTTTATTTCTGCCACACACTTTTGAAAACAACTTCGTTACTATATTGATGTGTCAATTCCCATAGGGATACGGAAATTTACTTTCACAGTTACTTTTTTTTTTTTTTTATTGATGATCTAAAATGTGACAGTTTCTATAGAGTTGACTATCTGTTTTTGTTGGTTCATGGCGAAAAGAAACGAATGTATCACAAAAGAAGAAGAATTTTTTCTTTCTTTTGCAAAATAATATTTGTATAATAATTTTATCAAAAAGTAAATAAAATTATAAAAATTGAGAGTGATAGCGCAAAGTAGGACAAGTCAAATTTTCTGTCGCAGTAGTGTTTCTACCGTAAACTAAATGTGATAAAGTGTCAGCGAAACAATATTCGTGTCACAAAAATAACGAAAAATTGCAGGTAAGTTACTGACAAAAAAGGAACATTTGGAAAAGTCGTGATACTTCTATAATAATTTTATTAGTTCGTGGCGAATATATAAACCATAAATTAATAAAATTATTATAGAAATGTCACGACTTTTCAAAATGCTGTCAAAACGGAAGGACAGCATTATTATGCAGTTGGTTATTGTGTATATGAAATAATTATAATAATAATAATAATAATAATAATAATTCAAAATTTATCATCCTCGTGAAGGAAACTCAACATTTTACTACACCGGAAGGACATTAGAACCCGTGTTATATTACGTCATTGTGTGTGACGTCATTGAGCAACGTCATGCCTCACTACATTCAGCGCACAATCCCTCAATTATTATAGATTCTCTTTACGAGACTTCGCGTCGTAATATGAAGGTAAAATTATTATTTTTTTAAATCCGAGTTTTTGGTTTCACAAGTTTATTACCATAATTGTAATTATACGTAAGGGAAAATGAATTTTAAAAATCAATTGTCTTTTTCGCACATACCGCTTTTATGTGATTTCACCTTTCATATCTGTTGGATAATTTTGGAAAACTTTGCCAATTAAAATCAAAGTCATGTGATTAAATCTTTAATGTTCAGTAGAATATCCGAAATGTGATACGAGATAGAAGAGAACGATTTTCGTAAACATCTTGACCTTTAAAGGTCTGTTCACAGTGAGCAGTGTACTGGTTTTTGATTGGCTGATAATGCGCTTGCGTCGTTTTAAAGGTTTGTCCACATGAAAATAGAGATTCAGTTTTTAAAGAAATAGCCAAATATAACTACTTAATGTGGTTGTGGGTCGATTAACCTTATAGACAATATATGTAAACGACTGAGACGTAGTGCAGTGTGCTGTGGACAATACTTCAAGGTTATGAGAAATATTCTTATTCTCATGTGTCTGTTTATAGGTTTTACTATTTAGTTAGATATAATATATATATATATATATATATATATATATATATATACATATGCCTATAACAAGATATAAATATCCACGACGGATTTTATAGGTGACAGGTGAAATAGACATTTTCATTATGATTTCTGAAGCCTTAATACAGGATGTTGAGGTATATATATATATATATACACAACGACAAATATTGGTTAATCAGTAGTTGGAAACGTGACACGTATAATATCGAATAGTAGATTTGGATTCGACCATAAACCACATCCTTGCCACTGAGTGTAGTCGTATTACAATTCAACCCCCGAGAAAATATCGACTATTCTCAGCTCTGTCTGTCTCCCTTTTCTCTGTACGTGTACTTTGGTACTACATGTCCCTATGATTCCATATCTTTCACGAAATCTAACTTGCTTTTTTTTTAAACATCATTTCTTAATGTAAATTAATTCCCCTTGTGTTTGGTTTTAGTTCTAACCCTCATGAACTTCCTTAACTTTTGGATTTAAATATTTATCAATTTCCACATAAAGTTTTTGCCTATATTTATAAGTTTCATTTTATTATCGAATTCTTTCTTTTATACACGTGATACACATTTTCTAAAGATGAAATATTCATATTTATGTCCAAAAGTAATGGAAGAAAGGAACATAACCTAAAAGAAGTGGGCAGCGTTTGGGACTAGGGTGAATTCACACTGAAGAAAATATATACAAATTTGATTTGTTTAAAAGAATTTGAAATGTTCTAATTGGAAAAATAAATTAAATTGTTTTGATCGGTAATTTCCCCCCCCCCCATCAAAATGTAACGTTACATAAAAAAAATATTATGTGAAAAGAAATTAAAAGTCATTTATTATAATTATAATTTATGGCATGTTTCACCTCATATTTATAAGGGGGGGGGGATTAGTTCAACTACATGGCACTAGTGGAAAATAATCGATATTGAAAATACCCCCTGAAATGAGGCGAAGGTCTTATTTTCTATGTCTGTGTCAAGACTATATGGTGAGTGTCACGTGGTTTGAGTCACGCGATCTCTGTTTCTTTGACAATATAATACAGGGAGAGAAAAATCAAGCTTTCTATATTTTGTTTTGCACGCACTCTGTTGCGAGTTTTTAGTACGAATTTATATGTTTTACGTAATTTACGTTATTTACCTTCCGGTTGAAAAATCGTGATACATCTATAATAATTTTTTTAGTTCCTGGCGTTATTTAGGGACAACGCACAATAGATTTGTGAACGAGATGCATGAGATAGAAAAGGACATATATATATATCTGTCCTTTTCTAACTCATATTTCACGTTCACGAACAGACAACTAATAAAATTATTCAATATAAAATTTAATAACCTAATAATTTTAATCCAATAACATAAATTTTTTCATCGTTTTTTAATTAAAAATAAAATTATCTTTCGAAGTCATTGACACCACTTTTATGTATTCTTTAAAAACAATTTTTTTTTTCATACCAATAATTAAATTATTTATTTCACCTCTGAGAATCGTCGAAATGAATAATTTCAATTATCTTTATTCTGCTTCGTTTAACCCAGATTTTAGTTTCAAATTATATTTTATAACATATATAAAATTAAACCAACCTTTATTAATATGAAAGCAAAATGTGTATATGATAATAATAATAATTGTATTTTTACAATTCATTTACATTTTTCTCCACTCTTCTTTTTTTTTTGCCACTTTTCTTCAGCAACGACAACAATGGCATTTTAAATGAATTATTAAAATTACAAAAAACAAAATTTGTTGTCACCTTTAAATGTTTTTAACGACGAGAAAGAATTTTTTTTTTTGAAAATTTTTAATCGGCTCATTAGCGAACAAAAATATGAAAGTATAGATAAGAAAAATAACAAGAAAGTTTATTGTGTCTCGTTAAAGTCCAACACGAGGTCAGGCCTCAACATAACAGTTTTTCTCTAACTGAAACTTCTCTTAGTAATGGCCTTTTTTCTGCATATTCATATATAAAAGCACATGTGAAAGACGTATTATTTTTCTAGTAAAACTTTTCAACTTTTGCAATATATGAAGCTATCAAAAAAAAAAAAAAGAACGCATGAAAATCAATTCCATACATGCACTTTGAGAAGAAAGAATCCACCCATTAATCTTAAGGGATATTTGAAAAATTTTGATATTCTTCTTTTTTGAATTCTAATATCGCTAGCTTTTAAATAGATATTTGTTTTCAGTATTTGGAATCGATATATCGTTAATAAATATCAATACTTTTAAATCGATATATCGATATTTAATTTTCGTACTTTCGATTCGATATATCGTAAATAAATATCGATACTTTTAAATCGATATATCGATATTTATTGTTCGCTCTTTCGAATCGATATATCATAAATAAATATCGATATTTGTTTTTGGTACTTTCGATTCGATATATCGTAAATAAAGATCGATCATTTTAAATCGATATATCGAAAATTCGAAATCGATAACTATTCGATAGATTGATATTCCAAAATCGATATATAATTTTAATATCAAAAATAATTTTTAACAAATTATCCCTATTAGATATTTGTGAAAATGAAACTGAAAATGTGCTTTTTTAAGTGGTAGAAAATAAATTTTCTCAACAATGAACAATTTGACAAAAAGAAATACATATTTATATACATTCAAAAATAAAATTGTTTAAATTAATAAATTATTCAATAATTTATTTTTTAAATAATTATTTTTACAGATCATAATAATAATTATTATTATTTACAGTATAATTTAATATAATTGTTTAATAAACTTTAAAAACTGTTTTTTTTTTAAATTTTTTCATTTTGATTTAGATATTTCTAAAGAAAAATTAAAAATAAATGAGAATTGACAATTATTGTTTAATTAATAATAATAATAATAATAGCTTAAACAATTTTTTTCAGAACATATATATATATATGTAAGTCCTTGGAAATCCTTCTCAAAGGAAGTTCCTTTGAGATCTGACGATGCGTGCCTCGTAGGTCACTTTAATATACCCATTGGCTCAATATCTCACAAATTAAGATTTCTCATTTTTATTTTTTTTTCTCTCTTTATAAGAGTGTAAAATTAAACTTTACATATACATATTTTTATTTAATGTAATTAAAAATTTTTTTTTCCCATTTCTCTCGAACAAAACAGAATTAAATTTAAAAAAAAGAAATTTTATTTTTAACGAAACAAAAAAAAAATTTTCCTCTCTTTGTAAATATTTTTAAATTATTATTATAACTTAAATACAAAATTTGAAAAAAATCATAATGGCCATTATTTTTATAAATCAATTTCATTATTAAAAAGATTAAAAGAAATAAATGTTGATAAAAATATTATTTCTCTATATTCACATTACCGCATAGTTTTTGATGGTTAAAAAGTAAACAAGATAAATATCAACATAACGACTAAGGGGTAAAACAGTTATTTTTCCTTCAATCAGATCAGAGATTAAAAAAAAAGAAAACATAAACAGAATGTCATATGGAACGTGTTTTATTTTTAAATAGTTTTTTATTGAAGAAAAATGACCTTCCTACATAGTTACAAGTGTTTATTATTTTTATTTAAAGAAGTTATATAATATTAAAATTTTAAATATGAATAATAATAATAATATAAAAGAAAAATGATAAAATAAAACTTTTTTTAAATAAAATAAAATATAAATAAATAATAGATAAAGATAAAAGTAATTTATTTTTCTATTCGAAATTAATTATTTAACAAAAAACAAAAGTGGTATCTTGATTGTGAGAAAGAAGGAGTGCGCCATCTATCGTCCAAATTAAAATTCTACGAGTGGACAACTTTATACATAGTGCGGTGATATTTGAAATTGGTAAATAGAAAAAAGTAATTTTTTTTTATTTTTATTACAATTAATTATAAAATTTTTCATTTTCAAAAAATTTCACATAAAAAAAATACTGAAAAAAATAAAATCACAAAATAGTGATTTTATTCACTATAACAATGGATATTTTATTCAGAATTTTTTGTTCATAAAAAAATTTTTTAATAACACTGAGAAAAATGATACGGTCGTTGTTAACGTTGATTAAAAAAATATTCTAAAAACTAATATTTTATCAAATTTTTTCTCTAATCAAACAAAATTTACTACGACTTTTTTATTTTTCAATTATTGGCCCAATTATAATTATTAATTAATACCCAACTAAAAAAAGTAATTAATAATATTAATCCATTTTAATACTTTTTAATTGAAAAAATTTTTAATTAGAAAAAATTTTAATTACAAAAATTCTTAATTTCAAAATTACTCTAATGAAAAAATAATCAATTGATAATAAATAATCGATGCAATTAATAAAGAAAATAAGTTACAAAAAAAAAATAAATAAATAAGAAAATTATGTTTCGAGTGCGAGAGGTTAGCACCTAGGGTATTACTTGGAATAAAATTTTTTTAACAAAGTTTTTATAACGCCAGTGTGCTTTAAAACTCAAACAAAATATAAACTGTTTTCTACAACTGGGACTAAATTAATTAATAATTACTTTTCAAGAACATTTTTTTAAAATCGTTAATCCAACAATTAGTTTCAATTTACACGTTACGGTTTAAAAAAAAATTGTTAATAATAATGTTGACAATTTTAGCTCTGAAATTTTACCCTGGGGAAGAATTTCAATCATAAAGTCCGAAACTGATTTCAGCAAATTTTTGGCTTACGCCTAATGAATCAGATATATTTTCAATGATTTTATTTGTAATGAAAAATTTGGTTTATAAAATTTTTTTACTAACCTGATACTATATTAATTAATAATTACTTTTCAAGAACATTTTTTTTAAATCGTTAATCCAACAATTAGTTTAAATTTACACGTTACGGTTTTTTGAGAAAAAAAATTATATGAAAATAATTTAAATTAATTTTGTCAATTTTTTTGTTAATAATAATGTGGACAATTTGAGCCAATGGATATAAAAAAAAGGAAAGAGGAATTAATTTTCTTAAAAGGCATCGCATACCTTGATGATGGCACTTTTTGTGATTGGGATGTGCTTGGCAGTTAAGATGATGCTCCTGGGAATAATGATGATGATGATGACCATATTGTGATTGTTGATTAATTGGCGATTTAAGGACACTGAGCACAAGATCTTCATGTGAAGGAACGATGCGCGTTAATTGTCGACTTTGACGAAACAAGGTCTCCTGTTCACCGCGATTCATCCTGAAATCGAGGCGACGATTGTGAAGATAAAATTTTGGATACCACTCTCGTCTGCCTTGTTCAGGAGCACTACCTAGCATAACAGCCTGCAGCATTCCGAATTATTTCTCGTGGCCAATTTTTTAAGGCCAATAAAATTAATGTTCTCAATAATCACAATAAGCGATCTGTTAACTAAAATCCGAATGTCCATTGTTGTGCATTCGGTTTTGTTAACAAATCTTAACCACCAACTTATTTTTATCATCAAGTCCCTAAGGATATGCATTGAATCACTTTTAAACTTCCCTCACGATTCTTCTCCTTCTCCTCTTCCTGCTCTTCTTCTTCTTCTTCCTCCTCCTTCACTTTACAAATAGTTCCAATCTTTTCACAATTTTCCTTCATAAGAAAATTTTTTCACTTCTTTTTTCAACATTTTTTCACAAAATGAATTCTTGCCAAATTATTATTAGTTTTTGTTGAAGCAATTTTTTTTCTCGAGAGGAAATAATCCTTTTTTGATTTGTTTCTAGAAAAATTTGAGAATAATTTTTTTTGGATTTACTATGAGATGCTTCTTGAGATTCTGATGGTGATTCTTTGGATGTTTTCAGATGCTATTTCAAAAAGTGTACTAAACATTTGGATTCTTAATTTTTTTCTGAAACTTCGGGAATTGTTGATTTAATCCTTGGTATGATTTTGAAAATTCTTTAGACGATCTTCTTTTTTTTCAAAATTCATTCTTTCATGTGAATTTTATTCTGTAATAGAATTCTAATTTCTATTTCTTTAAATCTTTTTCCTCATTTGTGGAGAAACTTTTCCCTAAAGGTTTTGTCTATTGTAAAATTCGTGAATCAAATCAGATCATAGTCACAAATTATTCTTCAACTCTTTTTTCTTTTATAAAGAAAGAAGAATAATTTACAAGAAAGAATTATCAATTCTTTCTTTAGGATCATATCTTATTCCTCGAAAACTTTCAGCATCCTTTTGAAATTTTTAACATCTACTTCAAAAAATTTTCATTATTCTTCATATTGAAATATTCAATATCTTTTCATGTTGGTACTCTATGCATTTACATTAAATTTTAAGAATCTCTGTAGTTATTGTCGGACATTGTTTGTAATTTTTCAACATCTTTAATCTTTAGCATCTTTTTCTTTATATTTTTCTTCTCATTTTCTTTTGAATCTTCCCTCTTTCTTTAAATTCTCAACATTCCTTAGAATTCCTATTTCCCTTTTAAATTGTTAGCGTCCTTTGTTTTTTTTAAATTTTTAGACTTTCTTAAAAATCTGAACATGATTCTATAAATATGCGCGAGATCTTCGAAAACCTGCTGGAAAGCATCCACATTTAAACACAAATCTCACCTGAGTATTTTCTTGAATAAATCACAACCCACAGTTTTTCGCGCCAATCTCAACGACCTCGATTGCATTCTCGAGGAGACGCGATGCAAAGGATACAATAATTTCATCTACAAATCGGTTTTTCTGATCATTCTAATTTCCATCTTGATTTAAAATTTTCGAATCTGTAAACTCAATTTTTCAAAAATAACAATCAATTATAAATATAATGTTCAGAAAATCGATCATCTTTGAGGAAATCTCGTATAGATTTATAAAAAAAAGACTGCATTCCTTTAAATTACGAATTTTGATAATTTTTCTTAATTTGAAAAGTTTAATAACATCTTCATTATCCTTTAATTGATTTTTTTAAACTTCTTCCAAAGATAAATTATTGATGCTTCTCTTTCTTTTTAATTAATGAAAAATTTGGTTCCTTTAATGTGCAAATGGATCTTTTTCTCTTCTTCTTTAAATTAAAAATCTTCGCAATCATTTACGCTTCTAAAATTAAAAATTGTTGAGTTTCTTCAAGTATGTAAATATTTTGTTGATTCGTCAAATTCTAAAACTTTTTAATTAACTTTTTTTCCATTAAAAAAATTCGCTAATTTAAAAATCCTTTCACTATTTTCAAATGGTAAAATTTAATTAAATTCAAAAAAAATTTCTTTGGCACCATCTACTTTTTCTTGATTTTATCATAATGCTGCTCCTTCTTCTTCTAAATTATTTGATAATTTTTTTTATTAACAATTTTAAATTCGAAATATCTTTTCATTGTACAAAAATATCACTAATTAAATTCTTAAAAATGAGCCTACATTAAAAATTCGACTTTCCACACAAAAAAAAATTAAAATTCCAAAAAAATAAACAATTTTCATTTACAAATTCGCGATTGACGAGTTGGAAGCTAGAAAAAAAGTCGATTTCGTTGCTTTGCCCTTGAGGTGGACACGATTTATTTATTTATTATTTATTTTTTTTTTTTGAAGACGAGTGTATATACACAATCACAATCGGAAGGAATTTGAATAAAGCGCGAAGGTCGCACAATCCTTACTGAGCGACAGCCCGCAACCAACTGTAGCTCTTGGCCATCCATTGCTAGTTCGACTTTTCACCACACTCGTGCGCTTTTCCAAGCGTCTATTTAACAATCACGGTTTTAAAATTTTTTGACGAAAACTAAATTTACATTCCTTTTAATAATAAACAATTATGTCAATGCTAATATTCTTAGAATTTGAATCATAAAGTCCGAAACTGATTCCAGAAAATTTTTTGGCTTATGTCTAATGAATTTAATTAACGTTCCATGATTTTATTTGTAATAAAAATTTTAAACCAACCTGTTACCATGGTCAAAATTTGAATCATAAAGTCCGAAACTGATTTCAGCAAATTTTTGGCTTATGTCTAATGAATTTAATTAACGTTCCATGATTTTATTTGTAATGAAAATTTTTGTTTATAGAATTTTAAACCAACCTGTTACCATAGTCAAAATTTGAGTCATTAAGTCCGAAACTGATTTCAGCAAATTTTTTAGCCTAATTTTTAGATTTAAAAATTTTCGAAAATATCTTTTTCTAAAAGGAAAGGTAAAAAAATTCCCTTTAAACATTTGCAATTCTGTCAATAATTTTCTAATCTCTTGTGCCAGGCAATTTTTAATGTTATTGTACGAAAATTAGACAAAGGATATTATTAATTGTATAATTCTATTTGTATGCCTCCGACTGCAGTTTGGTATAATTTAAATAAAAATTTGTTAAAACGATTAATTGAAATTTTTATTTAGAATAAATGTCTCTCCCTCATTTTTGAGTTTCTTCCTTGATTATTATTATCTTTAAGTTTGTAATTTACTGGCACAAGTTTTGTGAAATGATAACAGCTTTTAGAGTCGTTACATTGTTTTAGGCTTATCATTCAGACTTTCGTAATAAACGAGTTATAAGCTCATATATAGGTATAGAAAGAGAAAGATGGATATATTAACAAGTACGTCTATGGCGATCGATACGACCAACTTTTTAGAATAGCCGCGGCAATTCTCCGCGTTCAACGGGTCACTGTTATACGCCTATATACATATATATCTATGTATATAAAAGAGTTTCTTTTTTAATTTCTATTCGCATATTTCAGAATTATTATCCTTTAAATAATTTTTTTTAAGTGACATGCCATAAATTTTTTTAAAAATTGTTTTATATCTGCTTTTATTAATTTCTTGTACCATTTCTAAAGAGTCATTATTATAATGTTTATAAAATATTTATCGTGTCTCGTTAATACCTTAAAATATTTTGCTTTACTTTTTTTCATCGAATTTATGTCATCTTCAAACATTCTCCTTAGAAACATATATATATATATTGCTGTTTGGAAATTGTTATCCCAAAGGGGAAAAGTTATACTTAATTGAGTGTTGATTTTGAAAGTTGTTACAGCACTTGGAGATTGTTGATATTTGAAATTATTTTCATTATCAAAAACTTTTGTTTGTAATATACACACATTTTAATTAGAGTTGTTTTTTTCAGAAAGTGAGGGTGAAATTTCCTTTTACTGCATTTTATGTCATTGGAATAATATTAAAAGAAAAAAGACTATTTTTACTTACAAGGGTGAACAAAAATTTTAAATATCAACAAATCTATTTCTCGATTTTTGTCAAAAAAAAAGGTTTCATAAATTGAACATTTAGATCTGAATTTAATGTATGGAATTTCTGTAAGCTAATTTTCACATGCTTCCAGGCGTGATAAGAATTTCATTAGCTCAACACCAAGTATTTTTAATTATTTTTTCCCACTTCGCATGAATTTAAAGGAAGAATTTTTCTCATAATTGAAATCGCATTCTATTTGAAAATCACGACAATGTAGTTAATTTGTATCGTTCTTCTATATGTATTTTTATTGTAGAGCAAAAAAAGAGGGGAATAATAATTTTCCTTGGCATTTTTTACACTAGAATTTAAAAGAGAAGAATTTCAAACATTTTATTTTAAGAATGAGAGAAATTTTTAACTTTTTTAATAATGATTTTAATAACCAGTGAAAATATCAATTATTTTTATTGATTAGCATTTTTTTAACTTTTAAAATACTTCTCTTTTATTGTTTACAAGTTTTTAGGAATCCGGCAACAAGGATTTGCAGTGCTTATATCCTACTATGGGTAGAATTTAAATATTAAAGTCCGAAACTGATTTCAGAAAATTTTTTGCTTACCTCTAATGAATCAGATGTATTTTCAATAAGTCCGAAACTGATTTCAGCAAATTTTTTGGCATATGCCTAATAAAATAGATTTATATTCTATGGTTTTATTTGCAATGAAAAATTTGGCTTATAAAACTTTTTACTAACCTGGTTTCCAGAGTTCTTCTTCAAATTTATTTTCCTTCTTCCTCTTCTTCTTAAGATTCTGGGTAATGCAATCTGAGTCTTGGATCTTAAATGTCAAATCTCGATCTATCGACCTGCACTTTTTCAATACTCCTAACCGCTTTGGTGACATCTGCTATGGAAATATCCTTTGAGTTACCTCTAAACCTTATCGGGAGGTCTCCTTGTTTAGTGGGTTTTGTTCTCACTCACCTTCATGTGGCTGACGTTTTGGTTTTACCTCCTTACAAAGTTTAGCTAGGACGTTGTCCCTTCGGTGATTTCGATCAGCATATGGTTCCTCTCGTCATCTCATTCTGTTCAGCTCGTGTCGGTTGAAAAACTTCCTTTGCCTTGGGACCCGGCTTTATTGAAAGCGCTTCAAAAAAGGAAGTTTCTTTTTCTCATTTTACATTCCTTTCGTTGCGTCTGAACTGCAGGACTTCAATTCTCCTTTTGCGATTCCAGAATAACGTTTCTGATCACCCTTGCCTGAAGTCGTTCACATGGTTCTGATCTGCTTTTTCTATTCAAACACATCCCTTGTAAAAGTGCTTATCCAATTTTTGCAAGATCAAAATTTTTTCCTTATGTCCTGAATAAAGAATTTCAAATTTTTCAATTTCTTCTATGTCCTGATATAGTGAATTCTTAATGATAGCGAAATCGTTAAATACTTTCGACGTTAGAATTGCTGATAGTTCATCATAATTGAATTCCATAAGTCTAGATTGATTCTAATATATTTGTATACTGTGCAATAATTTGAACAATACTACTTTACTTTCAAAAGGAAGTTGTAGATCTTGTTTCTCAGCATCTAGTAGAAGTTTGTTAGTTTCAATCCAAGTTGCTTCCATTTATTCCAGATGTGCTTTTACCAGGTAAATAGTATATCAAGTAATATTCAAAGATATTTGACATAATCTGTCATAAGCAGAATTTGTATCATAAAGTCCGAAACCGATTTCAGATAAATTTTGCCATTAAGAAATTGTAAACCAGTTTTTATTAAACAAAACTCCACGAATTGTGATTTTAAAATGAATAGACTTTGATATATTTAACATAAGTCTCCATTGTTTAAAAACCATTTTTCTATTAGATTTCGAAGTTTGTACAATTTTTCTAATTCAATCTGTACTGTATCATCTGACACAAAAATCGTACTTTTTTGCAAAAATCACATTTTCAATGTTTGTGGATTAGCACTAAAAAGAAGGTATAACGTTGCAGAAACACAAAAAAAATTTTTTCCTACTATTAATAAATCTGTTAAAAGTGTAACATAAAATGGAAATATAATTTTTAATGGCTTAAAGGGAGTTGTAGCATTTTAGTAGTAGTGAAATAGTAGAAGAGAAAGAAAAGAGTTTGATGGGTAGGTAAAAGAGAAGAATGAGGAGAAAGGGGGTAAAATGCAGTAAAACAATTGTTTTGCGGCGAACGATGTTTCCCCCCCAATGATGCCTACTTATGAGAACAATTGTAAGAGTGGGAGAGGCGTGGAAAGAATTCGCCGTAAAATTCTAAATATCACCGAGACGTCCCGTGCGCATTCTATTTATAGGAAGAAACGATCGATGACCGCCTCAGTTTATATAGACGATCATGCGCCTCTTATGCATCGCTGCCCGCACCAATTTCATCCTGCCACTTCGTCTACCACTGTCCGACTTGAGGATTTCCCATCACCCCTCCCCTCCTCTTACACCCCCCCTTTTTGCCGTCCTTTTACCCATTCTCATTCAAGAGATTACTCTGACATTTTCATTTTCACTAAGCTCGCGGACGCTATCCTATTCTTTTCTATTTTTTCTTGTTTAGCTCCAACAAAATAAGACATTAAATCCAGTAATCAAATTTTATAATTATGCAAAAAAAAGAATTTTTTTTATATATAATTTTTTTAATTAATTAGAAAAAAATTATTTGATTTGAGAATTTTAGAAAAAAATAATCTTGGAAATATTGAGAAATGGAAAATTCAAATTTAAATAAAAAGCGCGCCATTCGTGCGGTAGAGGGACAGAATCAACGCGACCAATTAGAGAGCAGTATCGATTATATATACAAAGATTGTGATCCAATTCGTGCATTAAGTTTCCTTTCTAGGTCATATACCCGGATTCAAATAGCAGAAAACATTAAAGGATAAAACTGTCAAAATAATATATTGTAAAAAAAAGGGTTTTTGAAAATCTGAAAAGACAATTTTTTCCCCCTATTTAAAAACAATAAAATTAAATATTTTTAATAAACTCATAAAAAATGGGTGTAAAAATTCCTTTAAATTGTTTTTAATAAAAAATTTTTTTTTTCTATCGTAATTTGATAATTTGGAAAATCTTTTTTTATTTCTACACAGGGGCAATTTTACCTGCAACGTAATTGTATGCGTCAAAGTAATAAAAGTATTGAAACGTATTTTAAACGAGAATCATACATGAAAATGCAAAATCAATAATATATATATATATATATAGAAAAATTTACGATTCTGTATTGCAATTCATCGATCATATAATATGACGACGCGAGAGAAAAGAGCGATTTTAATGCGTATGATAGGAGA